ACGCTAGGTATAGTAGTCTGCGTAGGCGTCGCTGGTTCCGTGGTTTCCATATCTATCTCATTCTGGATCTGAGCTTCGATTTCTGCTCTCGCCTGGGTGCCTGGCACGTGTACGTCGATAGTATCACTATCGGGTGGCATTTTGATTACTAATCCACCTGGTCTGTGTGTTTTTCGGTGAAAAATAAGACGTGTCTAAAGTGATCACTTTAACAGCCTATAGCTCCACAGCGCGTGGCGTGCACGCTTTAAAGGTGATTGTAATCGATTTCTCGCGAGGGGTTTATATATATTTGACTAAAATTACACCTATTCTAGAAAACTCGAAGTTGTCTGTGCTGCGGTTGGCCTTGTTGGTAATTTTTGTATAGAGAGGGCGGTATATTTATAGAAAAAGTTATAGAACACGAATCTTGTACAATTCAGCAGAACAACAACGCGTGGGTTGACTTCAGACGTAGTTATCCGACAGGAAATTATACAAATTCTTCCCAGCCAAGTCGCTGTCCACTTATAAAAAGCCAATGAACTTCTGTTGCCCTGTAATGAAATTGGGGACCTGCTTCTGAACCTTTTCAAATCGCACGAATTTACAGCTCTCACTTTCAAGATGATTGAAAAGCGATGCCAGGCAGCTAAATTGATGATTGCAGCTGCGGTTCGGGCAATGATACAGCTTCTCGCTATGAGCCGGCGAATTTAAATGCTGGTTCAGTGCTTGAAGAGTATTATACTCTCGGTGGCAGAGGTAGCATTCATAGTTAGAGTCGTTCCAAGCTGCGCTTGATGCGACATTCTGTGTGCCAAAATCCGGGTAAGTGAGGAGCTTGTTTGTCAACAAGCCATTGCAATCCCGTAGACTAATGGCCTGGAAGATCGTTCTGTAATTGAGATTCCCGGCTTGTGGACATGAGCTGGTCTCAAGATGATGCGAAAGGCCGCTAGCCGAGGTGAAAGCTGTTTTGCAAAGGGGACACGCAACATTCTTCCCGCGGTGGGAGCTGGAGTTCAAGTGCTTAAGATAATCAGTAATGCTCTACGATCGGTAGATATAGGTTAGCATCAACGGGAGTATAAAGAACGCACCATTCTCAAGGCATTTTCGCTCTGGAACGTCTTTGCGCAATCACAACAGCAGTGTCGCTTGTAATGATTCAAAGCGTTCATGTGCTGATTAGCGTACAATTGAGAACGAAATCTCTTGTCACAAGTCTCACACCCGAACTGGGGCTCCCAGTGTCCTTTGTCGTCCATATGCTGATCCGCGGAACGTTGGGTAAAGAACTCTCGATCGCATGTGTCACATTCGAATCGTGAGGCCCAGTGGTCAAGTGCATCCATGTGCTGAATGGCGGCTTGCTGGCTACCAAACTCGCGATCGCACATCTCGCATTCGTTGCCGTAGTACATACTCAGGTCGTTATGTACTGTTGATATATGGAGGTTTAATCCGAAAAGGAACAGCGAACTTTTGGATTGTATAGAAGTGATAGTTGGCCTGCAGTACAGCCTGTATAGCAACGCAACTAAATAAGCGGGGAACGCGGGGCCAGTTTGTATACGCTTACTCACTCTACCATACTGCACAGCCGCTTGCACTCGTAGTTCTCGCACCCCTCACCCCTTTCCATAGTGCATGCATATACCACTCTCATACCGACCTCCCTTAATGCAAGCTTTCTCGTGATCGGCCTAGTTATCACAACCATTACTGTTTCATTGGCTTACAATCTTTTGTAACTGCTGACAGGCCTCAAAGTGTGAGTTATCAGGGCTGAAGGCATGCATCCGCTGAGAGGTCTAAGTAGCCCGCCCCTTTCAGAACAATAAAGCACTGTACACAATAAATCAGACTACATACTTAGTACAGCTTGGAACGCTACTTAACGGCCATCCTCGTGCAGCGAAAAACCTGGTGGGCCAGAAACAACTACACAACAAAACACATCGTTGTGCTATAAGATCTGCCATAATTTCGCTCCTGATGGCTGCCTTCGGTCGACCAAGTTTTTTGACGGACGTTACGCCGCAATCCTTCTAACCACGCCGCAGTCGCGTGACGTACACAGTGATCAATAGTATGTCTTGGCACTGCTTAGCGCCATCCCTTACCGCAATACAGCGTCCAAACATACGCATGTCATGATTGTGCAGTGAAGGGAAGACAGTTGTACCGGTATTACATGCAAGACGAGCGGTGTTGGTGTCACCGTATAATACAACCCTAACGACGCCCGTGAACTGCTAACGTCACACAGACCCGTAAGCAGTTTGGAGGATTCAACGTGGGCCGCCGTGCCGCAATCCTTCTCACTGTGTCATAGTCACGTGATTGCTTATCGATGAACAGGACCCAATCAATCAGGATGTGTCCAGCAGCTCGAATCCATGCTCTACGTCTCATGATATACATTTCTAAAGCCACGCCAGCCACCAACGAATTATTCCCAACTACGTGGCATGTGAAGGGTCACAGCGTACCAGGCGTTGTCGGACTACAGTGTCATGAGCGAATTTTAACCTAACCCCAATCTGAACTCCGTTGCTGATATAACTAGTCTTTAAATCTATTCTGCAGCAAATCTGCAGGATATGGCGCTGTCTCAAGTTTTAGGCAATCTAATAATCCTTAGGTTACTAATACACTTCTGTACTTACAATGCTGTTAGGGTCGTGCGCCAACAATGGATACAGGCTAATCGCTCACTTTCACTCTGTGGCACGATGAAATTGGCTTGATTTTCTTTTCTCTCAATGAATTTAGCCACTGATGAATCTTAGGTTGAACGTGAAGTAAGTGTGCATTAATTCCATATATCACCTCTAAGCCATTGCATACGATCTGCCGTATCGAAATAGAAAAAAGAGGTCAAGTGTCAGCCACGCGAGAAAAGAATCTAATAGATTATTAATTACAAGTACACGTCCTTTGGTAGCTTTTCCATATACGAGGGTTTCTATCACAATCCTAGCGATCCAATCTCTGTAGTTGCAGATTCAATTAAAGCTTCGGTTGTTGATACAGGATCGTAATGTAGAGGGTGGTTTACTATTGGAGTGGTTTACTATTGGAGTGGTGTATTACGCGTTCACCTATAAGACTAAAACAGCGTGTTATCTAGATAACAACAGCAAATTCAAATGGATGATCAATCAATCCGACACTCCCGGCTGCATACCCCGCAGACAGGAGCCACTTAGAGTTTACCACGTTGTCGAACAATGATAACTAGTTTCTAGGCATAACTAACCACAAGCGAAAGATTGCAGAACGATTGAACAGCACGAGAACTTGCTTTTTCGCTTAAGTTTCACTTTCTAAAGGATATCAGGAGCAAATGAGGTCAGCATGTAGTCGCAATACAGTTTGTGGGATGAGTACGCCCGAGAAGAGAACTCCAAATATTTGAGTCTGCAGCAAGGGAGAACAGCGATCGTGACGGAAATAGAAGGTTTGCTCAATGACAAAGGCCCAGAGGTGAAGTTGTATGTATATCAAATGCAATCCTCAGCTAGGCCAGAGTTCTAAGATAATTTGCCAAACCTTGTAGTGACCTACATTGCATCTAGGATTGCCTTGAGTGCATGAAATGATAAATCGATTGGAAACATCGATTCATACGAGACTTACTCACGCCGAATTATAGCCCAGGTAGGTTAAGTCTATATACATATAGCGATGTTCACAGAATTCCAGCCTGGCATTCGATTCATCCCTGACACGCATTTCCGCCTCAGATGACAGTCGATATGATCACATCAAAGCCAAATCATCTAGCCAGCCCAGCTTTACTTCGCAAGGTAGACCAACTTCGGGAGAAAAATGTTGGGCAGTACTTTCCTCTTCCACAGGTGAGCTGTCAAAGTTCTTCTATTGCTCTCCCCGCTTAGTTGCATATAGCTCGTCGTTGTTAGCGACCAAAGCAGTGGCAAGTCGTCTCTTCTCGAAAGCTTAACAAGAATACCATTTCCTCGCAATCTAGAGCTTTGTACATAGTATGCGACATAAATAATATCCCGCCGTGATTCTAAATCTCGAGTAGATATTAAGATTATCGCTGGATCTATGCCTCTAATAAACACAAGAGGCTGATCGCTAGTTTTTGTCCCGAAATCCTATTAACAGAAAATTTTCGCTCTCGTTTTCCAGGGATTCTGAAGGAAGTAGGTTTGACTAGAAAGTACATTTCATAGCGTATAATAGTTACTAACTAATGAATAGGTGAATGCTCGAATGTGAATTCGAACTGAACTGGCCTGATCCGAAGGAACTGTTTTCAGCGAGGATATCCTGAAGATCGAGATATGCGGCCCTAATGAAGATTATTTAACGGTAATTGATGTACTGGAAATCTTTCGCAATCCGAGTAAAGGCATCACAACTAAAGCTAATATTGAGCTCGTGCAAAACATGATGAGAGGCTACATAAAACATAGCCGTACTATTATCCTTGCCATTCTACCTAGTAATATCGACATTGCCACCTAGGAGATCCTTATGATTGCTGAGGATTTTGACAAGAGCGGAGAGCGCACTTTAAGTGTATTGACAAAGCCTGATCTGGTAACAGAGCAAAGCGCGCAAGCCAACATCTGCAGCCTAATTCTAGGAAAAAAAGAGACCACTCACGCTTGGATACTATGTCGTCCGAAGCAGAAGTACAGATGATGAGCACGCCTTCAATCTTTCCAAAGCGGAAAGTATGTTTCTCAACACACCTTGGAACATACTGCCTAAATATCGTCTGGGCGCAATGGCTCTAAAAGCACGGCTCACTGAGCTACTGGGCCAAATTACCCGAAAAGAATTTCCAGAACTCCTGAAAGATGTCCGCCAATAACTATCCGACTGCCATGTAACTATGAAGCAACTTGGTCCGGCGCGTCAAACGGAGAGAGAGCAGCGACTGTTCCTAAGTAATCTGGCTAGACGTTTCCAAGACCTTGTAGAAGCTGCTTCGTCTGCGCGATACTTCTCTCATAAGATCTTCGATAAAGTAGAGCCTAGACTCATTATATATGTGGCCAACCTCACCAAAATATTTAGTTATGACTTTGTGCAGAAAGCACATTTGCGATATTTTGAAACCGGAAAATCGAATGAGGAGGCAGACTGTGAATTGGACAAAGATGTTGAAGACGGTCTGTCGGATACAAGTGGTCGGGAAAGGGCTATTCTTCTTGACATCAACCTAGATGAGTACAGCGTCATTGATAACATTATTAGTAAGGACAACAGCGTCGAAAACCCTAGAAACGGTATAACGGAATGGACGGAGGAACTCTATTTGCAGTCTCGCGGTGTAGACTTGAGTACTTTTGGTGGAACGATCCTTTGCAGCGCCTTCAAGGTGCAATCCGACAAATGGCCATCGATGACCAAGACCTACGTTAGCCATGTCATAGTGGTCATCCACCGTTTCATGGTAATTGCTCTAGACACGTTTTGTGCAGACTCATGTGTTCGGGAGGAGATATGGGCCTCAATCCTCGATGAAGTTCTTACAAGATACAAAGCGGCATTAGATCAAGCAATGTTTCTTATATCTTTGGAGAGAGACAAAAGACCATACACTGTAAATCACTACTTCAACAACAATCTCCAGATTGTTCGCGGGAATCGGAAGGCAGCCATTTTGAAATCGAAGTCCCGACAGGAGATCAAGAGAGGGACCCATAATAATGCGCAGGTCTGTGACAATCTTGTAGTAGACCTTGAGGATGTCAGAAGTACGACCAAGAACAAAAGCAACATTGACCAGGTAAAAGAAGAGATCCACGACATTCTGTGGTCTTGCTACGAAGTCGCTAGGAAAAGATTCGTCAAAAACGTCTACCAACAAGCGGTCGATCACTGCTTACTTACCGGGCCCAGAAGCCTTCTTGTTATGCTTACAGAGCAATAAGTTATTGAACTGGACAGTGAACGGCTGTAGATGATTGTAGGAGATTCCTCACTGACAAAACAGCAGCGACTGACTTTGTCGAATAAGATTGGAGATTTGGAAGCTGCATCGCGAATTCTCAGAAGCTGACAAGGCGTATGCCCTTTTGTTTTTGAAAACTATTCGGCAGCAGTAATTAGGACAAGAATACACTTGAGATGTTGTTTTATCGGGTGGTCTGAGCCGACGAATCCTACAGAGTGCTTAACTACACATAGTCGCACCACCGAGTCATATTGCGTTTACACCAAAAGTGAGGCGTAGGTCGTCATCGCTTGCGTTGAGAAGATTGCGGCCACGCACGATGCCAGCATTTGCTACCAATGTTGTCGGAGTGCCATGGAGGCGAGTAATCTCCGCAGCTCCCTTTTCCACACTCGAGACGTCGCTTACATCGCACTGAATGTGAGAGGTTCTACGACCCGGTGTGTAGCTGAGCCTAGAGACGTCGATAACGACGACGGTCGCGCCGGCAGCGTCGAGCTTTTGGGCTACAAGAACACCAATACCCGTCGCACCACCCGTTACTATGAAAATCTCACGCCTTGGGTCAGGCTTTCCCTTGTAGCGTTGGTTGAGGGCCTTGAGGAGCCAGTTGCGGTTGATGCTGAGGATCCACGCTGCTGCGACACAACCCACAGCCCATCGCAGGCGGGGAGACATACCTCCAACCCATTTCGCTGAAGGCCATACAGATCCTAGGACTATCGGACTTGGCTTCTAACCAGAGTGGACGAGGCCACAAGGAGGTAGTATTGAGACAAACGGATGCAGTATCGTCTCCCTGATGAAGGCGAGCAAAGAGTCGAGGGTGAATTTCTTCATCTTGTGCTTTTTGCACCAAGGGATTCGCATGGATAAAAACACTCGTAAACAGATGGAAAAGCAGATATATTTTAGACTCAGATTGCCTTTCGGGTATTTAACGGCGTGCAAAGTAGAGCCTCAAAACACAAGCTTCTCATCTCATCCTCTCTGGCTCAATCTTTCAACCGATTTCCAACTACTTGGCGATCCGTCACATAAAAAACAATATGCTATCAGTATTGTTCCGAGGCATGCACATGATGGCAGAGGTTGACCTTATACGTTACTCTGTATGACTACAAGGTCATCGGGTCGAATACACGGCGTGATAGTCGAGGGCGCGGGCCTCTTTCTGTGCATCGGGAAGTTGTTGTTAATTAAAAGTACACACAGTAGCCTACTACCTAGAAGTCATCGTTAACCTTGATGAGAGCGAGCTCGTTTCTCTTGACTTGACTGGTCTTTCATCAGGCTTCTCCACCTCAGGAGTCAGAACAGTCGAGTCAGCCAGCCGGGACGATTGCTATGATCTCTTCAGTGATGAACATGGCCTGCAGTGGCCTGAGGTCTTGCATCTCGCGCAATCATCGTAGTCACAATGCAAGCCACTCCAAGGAGAATTGTGATTTGCCAAACAAGTATAAAACTTCAAATACGTCAACGAGCCACCCATGTTGGAAGTCAGGAAAGAGCAAAACGAACCTAATAGACTTGGCAATATATGCTTGGAAGCATCCGCAGCAGCGGTGAGAATGGTAATGGTGGCCCCTTGCACCCCCGGCTGATGAATTTGGAGGGTTCACAAGGGTTGGAGATGCCATTGGACCAAAATTCGATGCAATAATGGCGACTCTTGGTCAGAGTTCAAAAAGCGTTGAAAAAGACGAGGCATTATGCATTGCAACACTTGTTGACCTGAACAAAGGCAAAACTTACAATTGTTACTACTCAGGCTCCACCCACAAACGGGATCAGATTATTATGGAGTCAATTAAAAGAAATACAATCCTTCATTTCCCATCAGCTCCAATGAAAGATTTGGAACTGATGGTTATCGATCAGCGCCCACGTCATTCTTACAGACTTCTTATGTAAGCACTAGTTCAGTTCAAGGTGGTTTAGGGTTCAAGCCAGCCACAAGGACGAAAAAAAAACGACACCAGACTTTGATGTGCTGGCCTTTAATCGGCAACAAGCGAGCTCTCTATCACACATTATTTATGGGGAAGAGACGAAGATGAAATCTCGTATAAGTTTGGACCCCACCCAGGTGGTCTTGACAAGGCAACAAAATGTCATGTCACAGAGAAGTATTCCAACAAACAGCCTACGAAATATGATACGTTTAACTTGGGGTAGTTAGCTAGTCGCATCGGCGTTGTTGGTATGGTTCGCACGGCTTGTCGGACCTGCCTCCTAGTACGGCAAATTTTCCGATTGCTACTAACTGATTACGTACAACTACCCGAGGCATCAGTGGCCTTCCCGTGGGTTTTCCCGTGGGTCTTCTCATGGACTTCCCGCGGGGTTACCCGCGGGCTTCCCGTGGACTTGATACGTTGCTGTACCCGCGGGTCAGAGGCCCAAGAATGTCAAATGTCTTAGCACTCTTGCGTCTAGGCTTGGTGAGGCTTGGTGAGCTTGATTTTTGGTCCGAATCGATGCCATTATGGGCCGCTTGTGAGTTGCAAAATTTGTAATGTTAGCAGAGCGCCTGTTTTTATTCCCCGGATCTTTCGGTGTCCTCCAGTGAGGATCTCAATCTGCCCCGACATTTCCCCACAGCTTCTTGGATGGGTGCATTTCTAATCGTACCGATTGAAATACAAATAACGCGCTGCTCCCAGATTTCATTTCAGTCACCTACCCAGATCAACCTCCCCTTTGTGTTACCAGCTCACGATCCGACACGTTGAATCCCTCGACTAATCAAAGGACCATTCATCCCGTCCGACAGTACTCTGCTAGGGAGGCAGAGACAGTATGGGGCTCACCGGAAAACAACTGCGGCTAGCTCAGCTACTACTTGTAGTCATGCCAGCTTTTGTGCTTTTCGGTTATAATCAATCAGGTGTTGGTGGCCTCCTATCGCTTCGTGATTGGAACCATAATTTCCCCGAGATTGATACAATCGATGCTCACGGCGCTGAGAAGAGTCGGAAGTCAACAAGGCAGGGTGCTGTAGTGGCATCGTTTACGATCGGCGCACTCTTTGGGGCTCTATCCTGCTCTTGGTCTGCGGAAAAATATGGACATCGCAAGATTATCTTCATGGCCGCCTTCTTAACACTAGTAGGGGAAATCCTTCAATGCGCCAGCTTTCATGTTGCGCAATTCGTTGTTGGAAGAATCATTCTAGGATGGGGCGTTGGAGGAATGAGCGCAACAGTTCCTGTTTGGCAGTCAGAATGCTCGACAACCGCAAACCGCGGCAAACACGTTGTTCTCGATGGTGTCTTTATCCTTGCAGGCTACATGCTTGAGGCTTGGATTAACCTTGGATTTTTTGAGATCAAGGACAATCTACCTCTACAATGGCGTATCCCGCTCGCTATCCCGACTCTGATCTCAATTGTGCCCATGGTTGCTATCTTTACAATTCCGGAATCCCCAAGATGGCTTTGCAAACAATCTCGATATGAAGAGGCGCGCGCGAGCATGTCCGCTTTCGAGGGACTTGATTCTACCGATCCCGTCATTAGTGACGAGATCAACGGTATTGAACTCGCACTAGAGGAGACCAAGGCCCGGGCTAAGATAAGCGACATCTTCACCATGGGCAAGGATAGACTGTTCTACAGGTTTTCCTTGTGTATCTTTTTACAATTTGCACAACAAATGTGTGGAGCTAATCTTATATCGACATATTCTACGGTGAGTAGCACTCGGACTAATCTGCACTGCCTTGACTAACGCAACAATTGCAGATTATCTTTCAACAAGGCCTTGGAATGAGCAGTGAGATGTCTCGCATCTTGTCAGGAGGAGCTCTTACGTGGAAGTTTCTCTCTTGTTTTATTGCCTACTTTACGATTGATCGATTTGGTCGCCGCAAACTCTTCATGTTTAGTGGTTGTGGAATGGCCTCATGTATGATGGCCCTTGCTGTTGCCTCTAGCTTTCCAAAGAGCAACTATTCCGCACAGATTGCTTCGGCATTCTTCATCTACTTATTTAATTTCTTTATACCTATAGGGTTCTCTGGAGCAAACTTCTTATATTGTACTGAGGTCGCTCCAACGAGACTTAGGATTCGCATGGCAGGTATATCAACCGCGAACCACTGGCTGTGGAACTTTGTTATCAACATGGTTAGTACTGCAGAATTTTCGATTTTGACAAGAGTTGTCTCTAACATGTGCTAGGTTACCCCCGTGGCGATCGAAACTATTGGTTGGCGATACTATTTGGTGTTCCTTTCTGTGTCTGCTTCAATTGTTCCAATCATCTACTTCTTTTACCCAGAAACCATGGGCCGCAGTCTAGAGGAGCTCGAGATGATGTTTCAAGAAAGTGGTTCGATTCTTTCGCTTGTTCGAGAATCGAGGAAGCCAATTTTAGGGTCACTTGTTCCAGAGTACCTAATGGAAAAAGGCGACCATGGCAATGTCATCAAGCACATAGAGTAAATGTTATCTTTTCACGAAATTTATAGATTAGAATTTTCACAACAAAAACGAGGATAGGAGTCGACGCGGATCCAAAGTACAATAAATCAACTGTAACAATATACTACAATATCCTGCAGTTATTAAGTAATGAATATTGTTAACAAGACCAAATATTTCTAGCCTAGGATCGGGTGAAAATGCAGTGTCGAAATAGTATAATCTTTTGGCATCTCCATGTAACACTTCCTTGGACTTGTTGATGCTAGTACATCCGATGCTGCTAGGATGGAAAGTTATTGCCTAAGAGGACTACAGTCATCACAAGCATTTGGGGCATCTAGGTGGAAAAAGGTATATTGTAGTCACGTTGTGATAGTAAGTCTATGTATCATGAGCTATCTACTTTTCAACTATAATCTTTTAGTGTTTTGAAGTAGTTATTTCAAGTCTATTTTGGAAGAATGGGAATTTTGTTTATTCGTAGCGAAAGCGCACTAGTAATTACAGCATTAATCATCGGCATCATACTCTGCTTGATTAGGGAGTTTGGGGCCATCTTTGCGAATGGGAATCTTGATGCCCTGCTGGGCAAAGCATTTACTGAGCGGCGTGCTCTCAATGACGCCGGGGAACTTCTTTGCCGAGTAGACGGTAAAGGGGTCGGAGAAGTTGACGGCGAGGCACTTGCCCTTGCCGCGCGTGGGGCCGTCTGCGGCGACGGTGGCGTTTGTGCCATCGCTGGCGCCAATGTCGAAGAGGAAGAGCTTGAGGCGAAAGGTGCCCTCTGTGCGGACGCTGAGGTCCTGCAGGACAAACCAGAAGCCCGGCTTGTTCTTGGTGTCGTTGAGGCGACAGGCGTTGACGGCGTTCATGCCAATAAGGTTGCGCGTGTGGTTGGAGCTCATGGGAGTGGCGGGGATCATGGCGGAGGGGGCGGGGGCTTGGCCATAAGGGGCGGCGGGGGCGGGGGCGGGGTACTGCTGGTACGTGGGCGTGGGAGGCTGGGGGGTGGGCGGGTAGTAGGGCGGCACGGGCACCGACACGCCCGTGTGGGCGCCGGGGCCGTAGCCCGCCGGGCCCATGGGCTGCGGCTGCATGTGCTGGTGCTGGTGCTGGTGTTGGTGCTGGTGTTGGTGCTGGTGGCGGTAGGCCTGCGAGTGTGCATCGTAGCCCGGAATCGTTGTGGCGACATAGTGGCTGCGCTCGGGCGGTGGCGGGTACGACGTCGTTGTGCTGCTGCTGATGGACACGGTGGGCGCGGCGCTGCTATGGCGCACCAGGTTGACGGCCGACTGGCCCGACTCGTTCCACAGGTCCACCATGAGGACAAAGTAGGTGCTGTCGATCTCGTTGAAATCGAGCTCGCGATCCATCTCGTCCAGCACCACGAGCCGGATGCATGGCGGAGGGGTGATGGGCCGTCGGTCCTTGTCGCCAAAGCCACACATGCGCGCTCGGATGGGTTGCTGCTCGACCTCGAGCTTGTACTTGCGCTCTGCTCGCCGCAGCGGGTACTGTGGCTGCCCAACCGTCTCGGCGCGTCCAGTCGTGATGCGGTTGCTGAGATGACCTTGATAGTGAGCCATGCTGGCGGCCATGGTATCTGGTGTCGCGCCCTGAAAGCGAGCGGGGGCGTGTGCTTGTCTGGCGCTGGCGGTTCAAACGACGACGACGACGACGACGACGACAACGACGGTGACGGCACTGCACTGCACTACGCTGGCGATGCCGAGGATGATCAGGTCCGGGTTTGGGGATCAATGGATGGATGGCTGGCTGGCTGGTTGGCAGATTCGAGAGAGCAAAAGGGCGACACCGGTCCGGGGGTTTTGTTTTATAGCAAGCGGCTCCAACCAAGCGTTGACTTGTCCGTAGTACATGACTCATGTCCATGCTCATCACCACATGAACCATGGTCCAGGTGCGGCGTACCCACCAACGACATGGCCTCTGATGGTGCGCAAATCTAATGCCATTGCTGCGACTAGCCCATGGTCTTTGCGGGATACATGTGGCGATCGTCTTGCCCGCGCCGGCCTGCAATCCTAATTCCCTCGGTGCCTCGCTTACATGTATGTAATCATGGCCTGCCCGCCTATCGCATCAACCACAACATGCTTTGGCTACACCTACGCCCTTGTGCCTGTGCCTGTGCCTGCATCATCTATGCTCATGACAAACCTATGCATTGCTCGCACTAGCCAAAGCTCCTTGCTGCATACCGACTTTCTTTCCTCAACGCTCGTCCAAATCACGTCCCAGGTGCCAGCATGTACAAGGCACTATTCACGCAGCCACTATGTACTCGACAAGTATTTCTCCGCAACGCATGACTCGGCTCCATCTACAAATGCCGTCAACACATGAAGCACGCTAAAAATAGCTTAAATCCCAATCATCCACTGCACACTACTACTACTACTACTACTGCTGCTGCTGCTGCTACTACTACTGCTACTGTTTGCTATCTTCACACCTACCGCATTGTCCAACCAACTCTAATCGCGCCAAATAAAAACAGGTTTTCCTTGCTCAAAGAGGCGCGTCTGCGAAAACAAAATCGTGCAACCAACGTCGCCCATTGGGTCATCCCAGCTTGCTTGGCCAATGTGCTTGTTCCCTGCAAACTCGAGTCCTTACTCGCCTCAGTCTGCATCGTCTTGGACGCCAAGCTACACTCATCCCATTCCTCTCCACACTCTTCTTCATAATCTTCTCTCCACATCACCTGTGCCCTCTTTCACCGCTCCTCACAAGCGTGCACACATCATCCTCTAGACACTGCTCCATGCCGTCATCACCGCTGCTTTTTTTCTTTTCTTCCTAATTGCTTTTCTTGCATGTTACCATGACTACGGCACTTGTATGCGCACCATCCCTTGTGCGTCCCCTCGAATATCCATGTACCGAGCGTCCCCGCATGCCCATTGCCCCCACTCTTGACCACTAACTAACCCTCTAGCCCCATTGGAAAAGTGTCTGTTTCTTACCCTTGTTGCCTTTCTTCTTTCCAGCTGCGCTGCCATCCTCAACTGCTGGTGTCGTCGTTCCACTGTTCGCACCTGACCCTGATCCCCAAGCATTCACCACTGGAGTGTTGCGCCCACTATTGTCTCGCCGTAACCCGTTACCAGTGTATCCTGGGCTGAAGATAGTACTCGTAGGTTTGGCCGCTGCTGGAAGCGCCGGGAATGCATCTGCCAGGCTGGCCTTCTTGCTCGTGCTTAATGATGACGATGATGGCACTGCGCCGCGAGAGGGCGTGGATGAAGGTGAGGCGCGGGCGCTACCTGCAGCAGACGAAGACGATGCCCATGGCGTTTGTCCAGGCTTGGCACCAATGCGACTTGCAGGCGTGGGCAACGCAGGAAATGGATTGCTTGAGGATGCAGACGACCAGCTAGCTTGCTGGTTGGCTGTTGAGCGTGACGACTGCGCTGTTGAGCTCTTCAATTTCAGCACACGCGACCCTCCTCGAGCCGCCGACCCGCCACTCAAAGCATGCTCAGTAGCAGAGCCAGGCAAAGAAGGGTAGTCCTCATTGATGGCCTTCCAATCGTTCCATGCTTTGAGTAGTCCCTCTCGCTTCGTTGCAATCTCAAAGATGTCGGCTAGCTCTTTGATGAGCTTTCCCATCTCTTTCGAATCAGCATCGAACAGCGCAAAGAAGCCCTCAATCAGCTGTGCTGCCGACGTTTTTGAATTGCGGTAAGCTGATACAGCCGCTCTGAACTCCTGCAGCTTGATTTCGTTGTGTCCGAGCATGTTCGCAGCTCGTTCAGTGACTGCGTTGTGACGCAGCAACCGGGCTTGCTCTTGTGGGGTTTGCGGAGTGGAACTGACTGGTTGCGCATCGATGCTGAGTTGGCTCATACCGTTTGTAATGTTGCTGGTAGCTCCCGGAGTTGGACGTGAAGCTGTCACTACGGCAGGCCCAGAAGTGCTTGGGGGTGGTCTGGCTGCAAACGCCTCACCAGGAGTGGGAGTCGAGAGTTGACCACCAAAAGCTCTTCCGGTAATCGAATGAGCATTCTGCGCTTCCATCTGTCTCTGGTAGGCGAGTTCAGCTCTACTCAGGGGCTGCGCAGAAGAGGCAGGAACTGGCTCTGCATTTGGATCTCGTCCCCTGCCACGTCCTCTGCCTCCTTCGCGCCTTCGCTCATCTCGCCTGCTGTTGCCTGCATTTTGCTCATGCGGGGCACGAAACTGGAACCCAGACATGTCCACCCTCCGCGCGTCTCGCAATGCATCCTTGGATAGGCCGTTAGGATGCACCTCGAGCTGGTGTGCCTTGAGATCCATCTCCGAATCAAACACGACAAACTTCTTGTCCAAGCACTCGCGGTCTGGACATAAAAAGTGGTCTTTCCGAAAATGTATCTCGAGAGAATCGTAGTTGACATAATATTGCTGTTTCCTGCCGCCTCCTTCGCGTCGATCGCAAATGTGGCAGCGCTCGTGCTTGTCTCTGCAATGTGCGTACAGCTCATCGTCTCCGTAGAAGCGCTGTCTGCAGAAGCCGCACTCGGGATGGCCCTTGAAGCCACTCTGGTCGATTGCGCCGGGATTGTCATCGCCAAACTTTTGGTGCTTTTTCAAGTCTTGCGGGGTGAAAAGCTCGTGCTCATGCGTGAACACCTTTTTGTTGCGTGTACACAGATCACTACGTCATGTCAGTCCAAGCATAGTCGTGCAAAGAGAGGACTACGCGTCTGGTACATACCACATCATCTTAGCGTGTGCCGTCTTGACATGACGGTGTAGGTCAGGCCATCCAAGGCAGGCCACGTCGCACTCGCTATCCGGGCAGTTGTACTGCAGCAACAATCGCGTGTCCTCAAAGACTGCTGCATTCTCAAAGTGTATGCCTAGGGTATCATCCGACTTGAAAAAGTCGGACTTCGAAAAATCTTCATAGGTCTTTTCAGCGTCGTCGCTAAGGATGACGTGGTCGGATTCGGTCCTGCAATGGGCGCAAGCTTTTGTCTTGTATAGCGCTCGCATGCGGATCGAGCAAATGTGACATGTCCGATGGTTGCAGGGAGCAATGGCCAGGTGCTGAACGGGCGATGCGCAAATGAAGCACACCTCACCATCTGCATCTTCGTCATCTGACTGTGCAGGGGCGGGGGCGGGGGCCGGTGCAGGCTTGCTGAGCGCAGGACCATTTTCTGGTGTTTCTACTGCTGGTGCTTTGCCCTTGTCCTGTGCAGATGCGCCACGACCACCAGGGCCGTCCCTGTTGCCTCGACCTCGCCCTCGCCCTTGGTTGCCACCCCGTCCGCGCCCTCTTGCCTCAAAATTCTCCTGTCTCTCTTCGGAGCCATTATGTGCACCTCTTGCGCGTCCGCGCCCTCTGCCACCGCGCCGTTGTGCGCTTGCAGGAACTTGGGAGGTTTCTTGGGCGCCCGTTGAAGCCATGGCGGGGTATCGTGGGAGCCGTGCGAGGTGCGTCTTTGGAAGAGTCTCGATGTATAAGGCAGCAGTATAGTGTTGAAGAGCAGCGACAAATCGATAGGTACAGGGCAGGCCGGCGAGGCCTCTTATTCACAGCAGGGCGTTTCGTGTTCTTGGACTAAAGGTATTACGATGACGCTCTTGCAAGCGAACGACAGCTAAACAGTGGCCCATGCGCCACCGGCATGACTCAAGCAACATCTCGACTGTGGCGCAGTGAATGAGTCGACATGATGGTGATTCCGCATGTGGAACTACTACCCTGTCCTGACCTGCACAATGCACCCTAAAACGATACTTATACAGTACACCCTGAACCTGGTACCCACAGCAACTAGTCTGGTATACAGTGTGTATCTGACATGGCCATGAATTCCACAATCTTGTCTAGGTCATCAAAGCTCACGCAAGCCTTGCTCCTCATTGTCGTACTCATCACCATATAGCATCTTTAGCAAATTAAGAAAATCCTCCCCTCCACCACCGCCCGCATTAGTTTTGAACCATCCTTGCATGGCCAAGATGTGATCAGTGTATTTTTCGGCATCGAGGCGAACTTTGTGTGCTTCACTCTCTTTCTTCTCCAACTCAACCGGATCCTGCTCGCTGTACGCGGTTAAGTCTGTACGAAGTTGTTCCAACTCCTTCATCAGGTCGGCATGCTTTGCGATGAGAGTTTTGCGATCGCCGCCTGGAGTCCTTCAGTAAAGGGGGCACGGCGGACGCGTTTGCACTGACCAGACTCCATGAGCATGTCCTCGTCCTCTGCGCGAGCTGCTTCTGCACCTTCTGTTTTTGCCTGCAGCTCAGACACAGCTGCGCTGACCTTGTCATACTCTTCTTGGGCCTTTTTGAGAGTGGCATTCTTTGCCTTTTTCTCGTCAGCCGGGAAACTCCAGTACCAGTTGCCGCTGCCAATTTTCTCGACGCAGATTTTGTTGTCATCCGAGAGTGCCTGCAAATAGTCTTTGACTTGCATGCCGTTGATGGAAGACACTTGAGGCAGCGTCTTCTCAAGGTCCTTGATACTGTGCGCCTGTGCTGTTTTGTGAAACTATGCCAAGATAGAAGCTGCTTTCTGCGGGTTGGGCTGAATCTTAGGTGCCTTGACTATATTAGGGCGGCAGATGCTGTAGTTGTTGTCGAACTTACCATGTTGACTTTTTTTCTTGGAGATAGTGTTGGGATTGGGGTTGGGGCATGGGATGCTTGACGTGGTTGAAGATGTGGTGCAAAAAAAAGATACGCTCATCCAGACGAGGAAGGCACGCTTGGCTGGCTTGGACAAGGGGAAAAGGTAGGCGCGACCATGGTGCATGAACAGGCAGCCATCGATCTATCTAGTCCGTCTCTTCTGCGATGCTTGTCGAGACTCCACTGGCGAAGCCCAGGAGACGTGCACGGCACGGTTCGTCTCTTTTGTAGACTGCTGGGTTGTATCAACAGGCTCGTGCTCTTTGACCGCAGACGAATTCGGCTTGCTCTTGCTCTTACCACGGCCGTCGTCTTGGTCAGCCTCGGTGAAAGCCAGATCACCAGTCTCGCCGATGACACTGCGCGCCGTTTCCTCTACAAGGATGCCGAGGGCAAGCAGGACAGTTCCGTCCAGGTGTCGCCATCGTATGCTCCGGCCACGGGCGTCGACTTGGGCATACATATGGGTTATGTAAGCATGGATCGAAGTTGCAAGTTCTCCCCTAGGCAGTTGCTGGTCCGAGAGACGGTTATGTGCTGGGTAATAGTCGTCCTCTTCGTACCGGATCGGCGCATTTTTACGCTTGAAGAGGACTTCGTCCGGTCGTAGACGTTTCTTGGCCGCCTTTGGACCAGTGACATGCCCAATCAAACCAGCTTGCGTGACATTGCCTGTGTTTCCAGTCAGAATCCGTTTTGCACGGCAGGGTTATGCGGCTCTTGCCTGCAACGGCATCGTAGACATTGGCTCTTCGCTTGCGTGGCTTTTTTCCACTGGCCACCGCTGAGCCTTGACGTGAGGCCATTGCAGATGCCTTGGTTGTATGGTTTATAGTCGTGTTTTGTCCTAAGAGGTGATCAACTTCAAAGGGCAGATTGCACGAGTGGTCGTTCGCGAGGCCAACACGGGATCCCTGCAGCAGCTTGGCCGCCGCAGGCTGCGCAGGAGCAGGCAGCAACGTCATAGATGCATACATACTGTCAGCTCGACCCGTTCCTCGGCGTCTACACTACTCTCATCCGCCTTGCTGTAGTTTGCACCTATTGATTCATCACTCGCACATCGCCACGCACACAAAAGCATGAGTCGCATATGCACAACCAACACGTGCTCGACCGCGCGTACGGCTTCATTCCCAACCATGTCCTCAAGCGCGCCTGCACCTCCCGCCTTGTCTACGCGCTGCAGCCGTCGCCCAGCGTAAACTTCAGCCAGCATCTGCCCACTCCTGATGCTCCACACGAGCGCATACCAGCCCACGCATCTGGTGTAAGTGTGCTGACAGTTGATAAGTTTGAGGGGAGGTACCTGCTCTCTGCAGGCGCCGACAGTTCGATCGCACTGTGGGATCTTGAGGCGCAGCCGGGCGCGACCGAGGCAGGCGAGACGTACACGCCTCTGACTGCTGCAAGCAAGACGAGCGAAGAGCACAAGCTTGGCATTACACAGATACACTTCTACCCGTTCGACTCGCTGGCGTTTCTCACGTCGTCTTACGACCACACTGTCAAGCTTTACTCGAGCGAAACGCTCGCCACATCTGCATCCTTTGACTTGGACTCTGTCGTATATAACATCTCGTTGTCACCCGTGGCATCGCATCTACTTGTTGCCTGCGCCACACAGAATCCCAACGTGCGTCTTGTAGATTTGCGGTCTGGGGCGACGACGCACAGTCTGGCAGGCCACTCTGGGGCAGTGCTATCTACGGCATGGAGTCCAGTTCGTGAACACATTGTCGCTAGCGGGGCCACCGACGGTACTGTTCGGTTCTGGGATGTGCGTCGCAGTGTGGGCGAACTGGCCATGTTGGATCTCGAAGACTCGGTTGGCCGGCGTGGCAGCCAGTCCATGTCCTTGTCTCGCAACGCAGCAATGAAGCAAGCACACCGGGGACCTGTCAATGGGCTGATATGGACAGAAGATGGGACGCATCTCGTGACATGTGGCCATGATGCGCGCATCCGCGTCTGGGACACGGATACGGGGGCCAACACACTGGCAAACTTTGGCCCCATGGTTAAAAACACAGGTCTGTCGCCACGACTGCCTGTACTTGCCCCAGTCGAGAGCGTGCAACCAGGTGGTGAAGTCGTCTTCTATCCCAACGGCTCTGAGGTGCTTGTGTACGAGCTGTGGGAGGGCAAGCTGATACGCCGCCTACGCCGCTCGCAACAGCGCCCACATGTAGGGTTAGCAGCGGGCAATTGGCAACAGCCGGTCAAGGATAGAATCACAAGTCTGGCTTGGCGGGCGCACGAGGTAGAAATGTACTCTGGGCATGGGGACGGTAGCATTAGTGCGTGGAAGCCGCGAACTGAGCAAGATGCCGCGGCGGAGGACGAAGAGGCGGCGGAACGAGAGGAACGCGAGGTAGACAAGAAGAGGAAGAGGGGCGTGCTAGATGAGATCTATCAGGGCCTGACCAAGAAGCCGATCACATTTGGTAACATGGGGCAGTAGTGCGAGCAGATTTGACAGAAATGCAATTTGAACTAAGAGCAGCGTGTACAGACAATGGCCATGGTCATGGTAATAATTGTGATGATATTTGCGTCCGTGACTATCATGTCTGCATACGTGTCGTTTCGTTATCTGGTATCGGGAAGAAGGCAGGAGAGAATACAATAGTACAGGAAGGAAATAGAGAAAGAGCATACATAGGCCAGTCTACCCCGACCCAAAGTGCGGCAGTCTGGCAGGTACGAATTGGTCTTGCCCATCATGTTGTTGCACTCTGTTTTCATCAAGAGGACCCAGACCAGTATCGGGTATTGATTGGGTGTCTGCAGTACTGGCAAACGGAAGGTGGTCACGGCTGGTTGTGGCGGTCGGGGTGGGGAGCAAGGGCGAGGCAGGGTCTGAGGCTAAGCCGCGCTTGACGGCGAGGTGGTGGGCATTGTGGCGCTTGCGATCGACGTCGTCCTCTTGCTGCTGGCGTAGACGCTCTTCTTGCTCTTCGAAATGGGCGAGAGTGGGGATGCAGTCGGTGGTGTCAGTGGTGTCGGCGGGCGAGGAGCGGTGGGTTGTGCGCGTCGAGAGGCGCGAGGCAGAGGGGCGGTTGCTGGTTGCAGAGAGCGTCTTATTGCTGCTGGCGCTGTCTTGAGTCCATTGGCCGGTGGTGCGCCGCTCGAGGGCAATGGTGAACTCGTCGTCGAGGGGCACGGCGTCTTCGAGCTCGTCTTCGCTGGGGAAGATGTCGCCTCTGGAGCTGAGCGAGTCGGTCGTGTGGCCCGAGGTATGCGTGTCGCTTCGTTGCCTGCGGTGGCCCTTGTGCTCCGAATGTCTCAGGCCGGTGGCATCGTCGTCGTCATGGTCGCTGTCGTCTATCAAGGGCTGGTCTTCGTCGAGGCTCCTGCGTGCTGCGCCCGGATGGTCGATAAGGTCGGCAGCCGAGGGCTTGTAGCGCAGGCCGCGGGCGCCAATGTTGAAGGGGAGGCGGCCGAGGAAGCCAAAGTACGAGGAGCTGGGGATGAGGGTGGGGTCATGGGTGGTGTCGCGGGCGAGGGGCCCCGTCCTAGGCTTGGTCTTGCTGTTGCGGCGCGGCGTGTTGTACCGCGCATCGCGGCTGCGCTGGCCGTAGCTCATGGCCGGCTGGCGGGCGGGCTGCGTGGTTGCTCCATAGCCAGCCGACGTGCTCAGGAAGCGATCGAGGCTGTCGCTGCCCCAGCCCAGCAAGCCGTCCGTCTCGTCGTCGTGGTCCCAATCGTCGTAGAAGTCGAAGCTCGACTCGGCCCGCCCGCGCGACCGCCCGCGATGACGGCGCCGGTCATGGCCAGAGGGGAGGCAGGGCGCGGTGCATGCGCTGACACAGCGGGTGACGGACGCAAAGCACGGGTCGATGTAGCGCTGCGTGAAGCCGTAGATGTTCTCCTGCGCTGTGTCGTTTGCGTGCTCCAGGTTGTCCGTGATCTGCTGCAGCGTCCGGTTCCAGCGCGGGTCACTGCGGCGATACATGGCGACGTCGATGGCGATGGCGATGGCGACTCTTCCTCTTCACTCCTGGCAGGCTGCTCTGCGTCTGGACATGCACTGCACTGCACTGTACTGTACTGGACGCGACGTTGGGTGTCGCCGACACGAATGCGCCGGGGCGAGACGCCGCCGTCCATCTACTTCAGACTCCCAACCCCAACCCCACCCCACACTGTCCGCCTTGGTCTTGGTGCCAACCCAACTTTTTCCTCAGTACCCATGCACATGCACCCGCCATGCGCTACCTCCGCTTCCTCAAACCTCCCCGCATCCTCCGCGACAAGACCACCAACGCCGCCAGCGTCGCCTGTCTCGCCACCCTCGTCTCGGACCTGGGTGACTCGTTTCTTCCCCACCATGTCCATCTCGCCGCCGAGCTTCTGCTGTGCACCCACGACGTAGAGCATGTCCTCGTCTGGACCTCTGTGCGCTGGGCAAGTGGCATGCGCTCTCTGCCCATAACTATCCCACTGCCCAAGTCCCACGCACTGCCGTCTTCGCTATTGCGCCTCAGAGTCGGCATAGGCCCCGGAAACTCGCCCGATGAGTATTCTGCTCTCGCGGGCCAGGATGCGCGAGGCGTTGTATCCGCCTGGAGTGCACCCTTTACCTTAGATGACGACGCACCCAAGTTGGTCCAGCGCCGCTTCAGCCTGTCACCACACTCTGACATTGCCATCTGGGAGGAGACGGGAGAAAGCATTGCAAAGCATCTGTGGTAAACCTGCCTTTTCCAACACCTCTTCTCAACCATTGCCCACTGAGGTTGCCTTTGTAGGGACGCGGGCATAACCCTGGCCTGCCATATACCAGACTTGGCAGACACAAAGTCGACGTTAGCAAAGGCTCTGTTGCACTCCACAGAAGCCTCTCCCTTGACTATCCTCGAACTGGGAACTGGCTGTGGCATTGTCGGCATCGCCCTTGCCCAGACAATCTCCAACGCCAACATCCTCTTGACCGACCTCCCAGAAGCCAGGGAGATTGTCCAGCGCAACATTGACCAAGCATCTAGAGCACCCGGCACTAAGCTCAGCTTCCTCGAGCTCAACTGGGATGCCCAACTGCCTGATGAATCGCAATCAACTTTGACCTCCGTCAATCTCGTCGTCGCGGCTGATTGTACATACAATCCAGATAGCAGGTAGGACCTCTTGCCTGCCCTTCTAAATCAACCACCTGACCATCTTGATACCACAGCCCGGCGCTAGTCAGTACCCTCTCCCGCCTAGCCATGTCCAACCCAGCCATTGTTATAGCCATCGCAATGAAGATGCGCCATTCGAGTGAGGAAGTCTTCTTCCATCTCATGGCCCACGCCGGTTTCATCGAAACTGCTAAACTCGAGTTCTTACTGCCAGGCGATGTCGAGGCGGGTGAGGAAATTATATATTTGCACGTGTATAGCACTAGCATGGTAAGCTGATGAAGACGAGGTTGCTCCCGGAATTACGTACTCTTAGAGTAAGCAGGGAAGCACCCACTACACCATGTTCCACTCCAACAAAATCTGGTCATGCAGTATTCGACAAATTGTTCGAGCCGACCACATACATCTGTTTGCTTAGAACAAGGAAAAATCATGGCTCAAGCACCATGTCAGCAGAGCACATTGCGCCTGTAGCCTCAATCGTACAAGTCCCTGTCCATCCACAAACCCCCACACTACACCACGTGCCAAGCCGCTTACTCCCCATACTTAGCCGCGACGCCCCCAGTCCTCGCCCCACACCACCCGGCAACCAGAAATATCCCGAGACCCTCCTAGCCCCTGCACCCACCATTCAGCCTCTGTTAACACAAACATTGCCGCGTTAGTCGTCGAACCTATTCCAAGTTGGTCTTACCCAAAGTACAACTTGGCTTAGTGGCAACTAGTGCTGCTTTCAACGGAATTTCCTTGCCTCACCCTGACATGAGTTACTCGAAGTGGTAGTTTCGAGGGCTGCACCACACATGTTCATGCTACTACTTATACCCACGTATGCCATGCCATGTCTGCATGTATGTATCTGTGTAGTATATACAGGTTGCATTAACGCTATTTACAGTGTATTTCGGATTATACATTGTTCATCGTCCTATTCGTAATGAATGCTTACTATCATGACCTTCTTCCCGGGTCGCCCATCTTTTAAGGAGATATTTTGTACGTCAATCGTCGAGATTTGGCAATAAACGAGTTAATCGCATCGTGTAGGCGCGCTCCAGGCGCTGTGATATGGACCTAAAGGGGAAAAGAAGATGGTGTTAGTCTACTTTTTCGATAAGCTATCCAAACACACAACACTCAGCAGACTTACCTCTGGTTGGCCATCTTGGGTAGCTGCGCGACGTACAATGTTTCTCTCACTGTCCGTCAGCACCGTCGGACCGTTGTCCGTTCGTTCCGTCGAGATGTGCGTCATGTTTCCGTACCCGAGCGCACCACCCTTTTTCTCCTCAAACGAGGCGTTTTCTTCAATGTATCGCTCTGCAAGTTGTTGCCGCCTCTTGTTCCTCCTCGCCATGAAGAATATTGCTAATGCAATGAGCATCGTAATGGCCCCTGTCGTTGCACGTCAGCCGCCATTCATCCAGTGACAACAAACTTTGCGCTAAAAGTCGCTTACCCAAAACACCAAAAAGAACAAACAAAGATCTTGACAATGGCGTTAGTCCCCTACCCGATCCACCCGTAGCAGAGCTGGCGACAACCGAAGATGTAGGCTGGAGCGTCGGTACCGAGACCGCGGTCAGTGCCGAAGACGCGGTTATGGCTAGTGGTGTGTTGATACTTTTTGGAGATGCCGTCACTTGCTCCCGAATCTCTTCTGACTGTGAAAAGAGGATAAACGTGCTAAACGACGGTAGTGGGGGGAAGCCGGTGACTGAAGATGCCGCAGACGAAATGCTTGTAATGGCAGGCGTGGGCCACGAAAACCCAGTACCCATACCAGATTCCGATGTAGTCAATGCTGGATCCGTCCGTGTCTTTGTCAAGGTCGTGTATGTTGTAAACGTCGTACACAATACCGAAACCGGCATATCTTCAAGAAGTTGAGCTGCCGCCGTATCACCTATCGATGGCGGTGGTTGATTCTTGCCTGGCATTAGCCCATCCATACGACCAGGATCGGCTTGATTGACTCCTGGCATAGGTCTACTTAAAGTACCAGGATCGGCTTGGTTGACTCCTGGGAGAGCTGCTGCATCTACCAATCCAGCTGCCTGTGGAGTGCCACTATCGCTAGTCGAGGTGGTATCTACTTGGCCGGCCGAAGACAGTCGCGAATTCAATGATCGTTTTTGTACCCCTTCCATCACCAGTGACGGATCCGTGAGGCGAGGTGATGATGTGGATTGTACGTTCCTCCGTAGAACCGAGTCTGTATTACCGTGACCCAGATTAGCGTTCCGTTGTCGTTTGCTCTCCATCTTGTTGGTGATGGTCCTTTGATGGCGCTTGATCCGGGCAGCCGTATTCGTTGTCATGCCTAGATGATGACGGTGTGCCAGCACCAGTAACATATCATTGTGTCCGCCAACGGCAGCCATGACATTCCATAGAAGCAGTCAAAAAGGTGACAGTTTGAGAGGTGGGGAAATAGAAGATGTCCAATTACCAGACCATGACCGGATAATACAGTTCCCATGTATAAGAGCATAAGGCCAAGTAACAAGAGACGTGCTTCCATGGGCGCTCGTTTCGGCATTGCACCCACCCACAAACGGTGGTTGGTCCATCCAGTGCTTAACACATCTTTTTGTAACCAAACATAGCACACGTGGCCCATGTTGCACGACGATTCCAAAGTCACTTCAGACCACGCAGCACCAGAATTGGTGCTTTTTGGTGACAAGATCAACTCCGTGCACCCTTTCCAAACGTGCAATTGTTTCACAGGACAATCGAAACTTTGTACCGACACTCGAAACGTAGCGCAATTGGCGGAATCTTGAACCACCGGTCGGATCCATTCCTACCAAGAGCACGCATTGCGTTTGGGAAAAGACATACGCGTGCGATTCTTGTGCTGCTCGACATGGACGAGCTGCTCCTGGACTTGGTCGTCCTGGTGGCAGCTCTTTGAACTGCCGATGTGAAATCCACAAATTCTATTGCAAAGCCTGGTGGATGCAACGTTTCGACTTCCCAGAAGAGGTCAACCCAAAGCAATACGATCGGCGCAGGGGTTGTTGATGATCCGAGGCCTTAAGGCAGCTCGACCAGCAACTCTGCTGCTACGGGTCGCCCCAGATCAACGAACGCTAAGCCCTTGCCGTGTGTGCCCGTGCGCCACATCATCTGCGTCATGCTCACTGGCCACACCAGAGCCCATCCATCTCATTGTCACGATCCGACAAAAGAAATACTCATGTCAACCGAGATTCCGTCGATTGGGTTTCATGGACCTGTTCAGCGACGCACATGTGCGACAAGCGCCCACCACCTTGCGCTGCCGATTGGCTCCGACAACTTCTGTTCCTTTTTGAGGATAGGTTGTCGCCACTTTTTACCACGTTCTCCATGCAAGAATAGCCATCTCTCCAGATACTGTACTATAAAGTATACCGTGAACATATCAGTCTGTTCCGGAGGATCCCGCATCCACTTTCACCGAGAAATCGCCAGGGATTTTCTCATCCATGCTCTGACAAATATCCACTTACCTGCTAATCTAGTAGATATCGCCCTTTATCAGCTATGATCAGCATTGGCAAGTAGATATGGAGCAAAAACGCATGTGCCTCTCAAATCCACATCACCTTCGTCGATCCGTGTTCTGCGATTGACCAACTTCGCTTCGACACCCTCTTCGACACGACAGCCCCCCTCAAAAAAGTCATCCGAGCTGACGCCAACCACCCAGCCAGAAGCTGTCGAAAAGGATCATCCAAGCACAGTCGTCGGTAGCAAGCAACATTTCCACTGAAATATTTCGTTCGAGTACGCATGAGTTTTATTTTGCCTTAGCAAAGTATCGCGAGGTTCTAGAAATCTCCGTCCGTGTTTTGCCAAGGCGTTGCTAGTTCCGGCGTCACAACTGTTTGCAACCTTTAGTTTCTTCAACATAGACACAATGACAAACATGGCAAGTTACCAGCGCAGGGGTACTTCTCACCCGCCAAGCAGCCAAGCAGCCAAGCAGAGCCAAATTGTATTCCAAAAGTGGTGTCAAAGGCTACTCGCTTACTGCATGTCACCGCCAGAACTTGTTCAATCCAGCAGATCGACTGTGGGTCAAGCAGCTCAGAAGCATTCTCGAAACAAGAAAAGGAATGTAAGGTCGGATTCTTAGTCATTACCGAAGCAATCTGTCAATCGTGTGATACATTTCATACACCACGGGTGAATTGCCCTCAATCTGCTCCTTGGAAGCCAACTGCGTAGCTTGGACGCCAACTCGCCACCAAGATACTGCTGACTGACTCTACCACGACGGTACTTCATCCTAGAATGCTTCACAGCCTTCGTGAGCTCAATCCGAGATGACCGACAACAACTGTGCCCAATACCCCACTACCTGCCAAAATGGTTCACCACCTCGGATAATTGCTGGATCTTTCAGCAGCTCTTCTCAAAACATCGACGACAGTTACTTCACTGTTGACCTTCCATTTCAGATTTGTGTCTATGGAACGTGCAGTACAAGGGTCAACCCCAGTAGCAATGGTCTCATCACCCTCGGAGGCTATGGCGTAGCAGACGTCGTCAACTACAATATCCCTAATTATATGAGTGGGGCAGTCCTTATGGCCTTCTGGGATGATCTTTTCATTGCTTGGGGCAGGCAACACTACATGGACTATAGCCTTTGCGGAGATGCAGGGCATCATACTGTGACGTTCGATTAGAGAGTGACTTACTGTTGCGATTCCAGAAGCAATGCTATATACAGCTTCTCTGCAACATTTTTCGAGGACCATCCTGGTCACGTGCAATTGAATTACTTTGGTACACCGGACCAGGGCAGGTCAGCTACCATCGGTATGCAAGGCTTCACTAATGGACGACGTAAATGCACGACAGCTCTCGCTTGATATGAAATAGCTAAAGTTTTCAGAAACCTTGTATAAGTATTCATACAACCAGCCTTCAGTCAACAATGGCCTCAAACTAATCTTTGACTCTGCTGCTAACTATTTCGGCAAGGCTTGAAATAGGCCTTAATAGATGTGTGAGAAGTACAGGGCTTTCATAAAAATATTTGCATAGTCTGGGTCTGTGGGTTTTGAACTTGTTATATTTTATATGAGACCATGCAATCAATGACACTGAACTGAATATTGCCTCACGCTCTACTGCCTTGACAGGCATTTGTGACCAGTGTTAGTTCATAGTACCTCTCCTTACATAAACAGTAGATGGACCCAGTACTTTACTTCCTCTGACATTCAAGTAAGAGAAGAGTGAGTGTTAGAACGTGGATATCCTTTCAGAGATTGCCGGCCCTTCAATGCTCCAACACCGTCCAGCCGAACGAACAGCCTCTTTTCATACGTCCAATGTAATAATAATGATACTGCAACAGGGTCTGAATCATACAAGGTGGCAACTGCAAATTCCCTAACTTGGTTCGTAACACTGTCACAAATTCGCTCTTACTACGTAGTTTTCTTTGAGCTTGAACACAAGAACGTGCTGTAACTTTTATCCAGAAAGAGATGAGGTCAGTTGCAGGATCTAGTTTCAAGTGGAGAAATGGCATGCTACAGAATCTAGTCTACTCTTCGGTATATTATATCGGGCCTTAAATCTCGGACCAACCGTCATATAATTACTCCATGAATTCGTATCGCATGTTGATTATTATACAAATTATTATCTTGGTAGCTCGGCACTACCTATAAGCCGAGAAGCCGAGTCGACTATTATTTATTCCTGTATCTTCTTGGACAAACAATGGAAAGTAGTGATAAATCTACCGTGCATCAATCGTGACGTACAAACGAGTAGACAGACCTCATCTGGTGTTTGCGCGTCCTTATCACTACTTACCCACGCAAACATACATCTACTCAATAGACTTCCTAATCAGCCCAGCTAATTCTACTACGTCCTTGCTAAATTTTAGAGTGGGAGATACAGACTTCATAGGCTATATAATTGCTCTCGCTGCAAGGGATGCTGTAAATAGTTCGTCTCCGTTAGGATTCACAGTTGCAACGGCAATCAGCTTAACCTAATACTTTTACGCAGTCCGCCTTACGCTTAGAGACCGGAAAAGCCCTTTTCCACTCTAGATGCGTCTTTTTTTATAGCGCACGATAAGTCTTTCGCGTACCATTTTGCGTGCGAGGCACGCAAGTACAACTACCACTCTTACGTAATGTCTAAGGTCATAGGTCTCACGGTTTAGACCTTACTAGAGGCTTACTTTATCCACCGCGCGTTGGCTGTGGAGCGGGAGAAACTAGTTTGGTCAAACTTTGAGGAAGTTTGCCTTCAAGCTGCCGGCGCGCTGTTGAAAATGCATCCTACACTTTCCGAACAGGCGAGGACCCAGAAGTATCCAGAAGCCTTCGTAGTTGACTGTAAGAAGAGAGCTCAATTGTTAGAGGAAACAAAAGATGGTTTTTTATAGAGTTCGTAGGCTAGACACGTCGGTGCGCAACGCTTTCTACAGATTGCAATTTTGCATGAGGACAATGTGACACTTCGTGAGAGCGATAGGATATTGCGTGTCTTCAGTGGATTCTTCTCTCAGTGCAAACCCGCATTCGTGATAGTTTTGCGACAGCTTCAATAACTCGATCTTATAATGTATTTGCAAAAAAAAGCAAAGTAGAGTGGTACGCCCTCTAAATTAGTCTTGAAGTGTAAAACTAAAATACATAACAACATTGAGAATCGTGATTATAAGAAGAGAATCCTTGATCTGAATTATCCCAAGTTAAACTAGTCAGTACGCTTACTGTCACTGCCCCTTAAATATCAATGTCCTTTCTCTGAAGAAGTAGCCAGGGTTCTGTATCCACGTAATATATATGCGATATATATATTTATACAAACGTATTTGTACATTGCGCTGAATTGGTACAGCTGAAGATTTTCATGATATCTTCCTTTTCCATAATATCAAACCTGTGCCTCGCTCAATGTCGCTGCTCACCCCCCTGACAATCAAGTGACGAGAAAGAAGAAGAAAATCAAAGAAGAGCCTACCACACTACATCCTTACAGCCTTCCTCGGCTCTGAAATGGAATTACAATAAGAGTACATAATCGAATCGAGCAAAAATAAATGAAAACTCTGATGACCATGTCTAGGGGTATGTGTATCCATGAATCCATGCATTTTCATCTTTTGTTCTCTTCCCATAAACGCCAGTTCAGAGCATGCAAAAACAACAAAAAATCATTCAATGTTGAACTTGTCCATTTCTAAATCAATCCAACTCGCCCTCTTGACCCGGCGCCTCTTACTACGCCGCTCTGTAGCCTCATCACGCGTCTCCCATCCATCCTGACCGGCCCCGGTGGACGCCTGCAGTTCAGGATGCGTCAGATTAGAATTGAGACGGCGCGGGTCCACGAAGTCAGGGTACTGCTGGTTGCCAAAGTCGTACATGAGCGGGCTGCTCGTGGGCCCATTGGCGCGGCGCGAAGTGTCTGGGCAGTTGGCACTGGTGTTGGCGCTGCTTGATTTCTCGAGGGTGAGGGTGTTGCGGCGCTCGAGGGTGCATGTTCCGGTACAGTTCACGTTTTGGAAGTTGGAGCTGTTGTTGCGATGGTTGGCGTATGCGGCAGGGCTGGAGAAGGGATTGGCATTGAGACTGGGGTCAGATTCTGTGCGATCGCGCACAAGCTGGATCAGTTTGCCGAGAACAGCGAATTCTAGTTTTAATTTAACAGAATATACGACGCCCTTGAGCGTGGTCTGGATAAGATATTGATTTGCAAATTCCATAGCTAGCAGAGCGAGATCCAGGATGATGATCAAGACGTTGATGGCGAGAAGCTGGTACATTGTTTTCCGGACACTGGCCTGCCTGAGCTGGCCAATGGTGGCGCCGTCATCGAAGCTGCGCGTATCGTCTTGAACGGATTGGGAGAGCCTGAGCAGCCGGATTGTCTCTTTGATGTAGATGATGGACAGGATCGTCTCTTGCAAAAAGAAGCCCAACATCTGTGTCTTTTCCATGATAGAGTAGGCGCGGACAAAGCGGGCCAAGGTAGCGGGCGAGAGAGTATTCGAATTTGAGCCAAAGGTCAGGACCGTGGTGACCGAGTGCAGCAGGACGCCATTGCAGATGATCATGTACAGGGTCCAGCGGAGGGTGCGGCGCGAGTTGGTGACGAGGTGCAAGCGTGACCATAGGACGACGGACTGGCCTGCATGCAACGTGGTGTGTCAGTCTCGATGGAGGTTATCTATTTCCTCGTGGTCGCGCGAAGCGGCAGCATACATACCTGTGACCATGCTATACCAGCCGATGGTGAGAAAAACGACGGCCACATATCCGACATTAGCGTTTGGGTCGAGCAGGCGGAAGAACTTTATGATGAAGCCGAGTGAATAGGGTATGATGCCGAAGGCGCTGATGACGAGCGACCAGAAGTAAAGTCCATGGTAGTGCTGAAAGGTGACAAAGGCGAGGATGATGAGCTCAAGGGCATTGTAGAGGGCGAGGCCGAGGAAGAAGGCAATGATGATTTTGAGAGGAACCGAGTTGCCCGTGTAGCCTATGATACCGTGGTAAGGTTGGAGTTTGTGGCTTGGTAGCGAGGGGACTGACCTCCAGTTATGCCCGCACCGGCGGACTCGAGCGAGCCCTGTGCCGGCGTCGTCTCCGCGGCAAGGGCAGCAGACGTTGCACTGGTCGAGAGGGAGCGGGAAAGGGAGAGAGAAAGGGAGAGCGAGAGCGACGCCATGGCGAGGCTTCAACTCACCCGACACCGACGATTCTTGGTCAATCCAACATTGACGACGGCAACAACAACAATATCAGCAAGACGACAGTCAGTCAGAGGCGGCGGATGCCACGCCACGAGCGAAGAACAGACCCACGTCAATGCGTCCGACATGGCTACGGCTGACGGGGCGCGAACGAGGGCAAAGCAAAACGGGCCGTTTGGAAGTGGACTTGATTAAGAACAAGCGTGCTGATGAAGTGAACAGGGCAGGGGTGTGTCCCGAGCACGAGCATAGGCATACGTAAGTAGGTGCATGCATGGGAGTAAATAAGTACACTACGTATCATTAGTAAATAGTACATAACAGTGGATGTATATATGCATCTGCCCTTGATTCGCGGGCAAAGCTGCCCAACCAGGCCAGACACTGTCTTGCCCTGCCGTTCCCTCACAATTTAGCCGCTTAGGGACTAGCGCGACAGAGTCCGGGGTAGATCCACTCCGTCTGCCATGTCCACATCCAAAGCTTGTCACCACCCACCCACTGCAAACTTTGCCCTAATCATGCAAACATGCCATTCACGCCCGCCCGCCCCACTTCCCCGTGCCACCATCACGCGACATGCCATTTGTTGCGCATATGCATCCACACTCAGACACAAGCACTACCATGCTCCAGTACATGAAAAGGGGTCATTGCCTTTGTCCCTGCGTCTCCATTCATGCAAAGTCGATCCACGCCCCTTCAAGTAATGTTCTTGCCCATGATCTCGCCCCTCTTCTTGCCCTTTTGCTGTGCTGCCTCGTGTTTCCTCAAGTCTTCCGGCACTTTGCTGATCTGGCTCTTCATGAGAATCTGCTTCAGGTCGTAGAGCACGTCGGCGTCCTCGTTGCCCCAGAAGGTAATCGCAACACCAGGCTTGTCTGCTCCCAGACGACCCGTACGACCAATGCGATGTGTGTAGCTTTCGATGCTGCTCGGCATGTTGAAGTTGACCACCAGAGATACGTCCTGAATGTCAATACCACGACCCGCCAGATCAGTCGCAACCAGCACACTCGTCTGTCCTGACTTGAGCGACGCAAGCGCAGCTTCACGCTGTTCCTGCGTCTTTGACCCGTGTAGCGTCGCCGCCGAGAATCCCATGTGCTTGATGTCGCGAGCAATGGCATCGCAGTTGCGCTTGATGTTGACAAAGACAATAATCGGCGCTGCAAACTCGCCAGATGTGAGAATTTCCTGTAGCCGCTTCTTCCGCTTCTCTTCTCCCTGGATGAACTCTGCCCGCTGCTCCACTGTTTCAGTCGCCTCGCCCAGGTTGCCCACCGTGACAATGGCAGGACGACGCAGGTACTTTTTCGCAATCCGTTCTAGCGCCGGCGGCATAGTGGCCGTGTACATCATCGTCTGACGGTACATGTCCCTCCTCATGACACTAGCATCTTCGGCACTTTCGTCGTCGGGCTTTTCGTTGTTGACGGGCAGCGCTTCGAGAATCTTGTTGACTGGCTCTTCGAAACCCATGTCAATCATCTTGTCGGCTTCGTCCATAATGACATAGGTGCATTGACTGAGGACCAGCACGCGACGCTCAATGCAGTCTACCAGCCGACCGGGCGTCGCAATGATGATTTCAGCGCCGTCACGCATCTGGAACGATTGCTCCTCAATAGAATGACCACCAACAAGGACAGCAGTATTGAACCCTAGTGGCGCCGCAAACTTGCGAGTCTCGACCTCGATTTGCTGCGCCAATTCACGCGTCGGAGCCAGGATGAGGGCATAAGGGCCGTCGTGGCGATTGGCTGCCGTCAGAGGAGGTAGCTCCATGATGTAGGCCAGGAGCGGTAGGACAAAGGCAGCAGTTTTACCTGAACCTGTCCTGGCCACGCCAATGAGGTCGCGACATTGCAGAGCAATGGGTATGGCCGCACGTTGGATAGGCGAAGGCTCCGTGTACCCAACCCGGTCGACAATGCGCATGAGCTTGTCTGGCAGCCCCGCCTCGTCCCAGTTGCGCATGGGATTTGGTATTGAGCCTCCCTTGGTAGCAATGTTGAAGTCTTCTTTGAAGATGCGCCAATCGCGTTCACGCATGTTCTCCAGTCTTTTCTCGCTCCAGTGCTTGTCAAGTTGCGCGCGGCCACCCTTTTCTTTCCGCCGCCTTTCCATATCTATCATTTGCTGTGCCCTCTCTCGGCCATGTTCGGGATCCCGCTCGATAATGGCCTCGATCATCCTCTGTGTCGCCTTATCTGTGACCTCTTCAGAGAAACCACCTAGTCTGCCCCGACCAAAGAAGCTGGCTTCGGCCTTTTGTTGGTAGATGGGGTTGTAGTCATGGCTTGTGTCTTCCTCCTCGTTCCACTCGAAGTTAAACTTCTTCTCCGTTGTCCTCTTGCGCTTCTTCTTGGCCGAAAACGTCGACTGGTTCTGCTCTGCGCCCATGTATCGCTGCCGAATCATGGCGGCTTCCGTGTCCTCGGCCGGCCGCTTACTCTTTCGGTTCTCGGATGGCGGTGGTGGTGGCGCCATGTCACCTCCTCCATGTCTGCGGTCTCGCATAGACGATGGCTCAGTGGGTGCGTCTCGCATCGCTCGTGGACCCACAGGTACGAACGGTGCGCCGTTCTGCGAAGGCCCATCTTGTGAGGGCTTCCATACTCGATCGTTGCCGCTGGCCTCTCGCCTCTTTTGTGCCTCTTCCACTTCCTTCTTGCGCTTTTCGAGCGCGATCCGCTCCCGCTCGGCCTTTGGAATGAATTTGGGTTTCGCGGCGGCGGCTTCCTTCTCGCGCTTAGCTCGTAGGATATCGTCGATGCTCGGCGGCTGCTTACGTGATGGAGCAGCAGGCGTCATTGCGCGTACTGGGCTGCGAACCTCTAGAGTGTGAGGTTGAGAGCCTGTCCGATTGCTTTGTTTTGTGGCTGCCTTCTTGGGACGGTTTGGGTTTAGATCGCTGACAGTAGTGCAGGTTAGCGTTGCGTCTGGGCTTGTCTATATAGGGATAGGAAACGGAGGGGCCGTTCGGTTGGAGCTCCGGTTTGTAGTGATTTTGGGGTCACGTGATAGTCACGTAACAGGCTGGATCTGGTAGAGTTACGTGGTAAAACAGAGTTCTCAGCTCCAGCTGGTACGAAAACGCGTAACTGAGCACGCCATAAGCATGCAGTTAAGATTGCCGAGCAGGTGGCAACGCAAACGCTACAACAGCAGTGGTAGCAGAAAGCGGTCAACTGGCATTTCGAGCCTGACGAGGCAGGCTCCGGTGAACTGTTACAGGACGAACGAGAGTACCCAGATATTTTTTTTTCAAAGGATCGAACATATTGTAAGCATTCACACCCCTTGCAACACTATGGCGCAACTCCCATCATCCATGGTCGGACGACTTTGTGAGCAGATGCAGTTCTCATTATTGCAGAAGTCACCACTAATGTAGTGGTGCTTTCCCATGGTAGCCTAGCGACAACAGTAGATAAGCTGGATCTCCAAGAGATCCAAACAATCAATCTCACCTTGAATATACTTTTACAGACTTGGTTCCTGCGAGCGTGCCGAGCATACATATTTAAGTTCCCAAAGCCACGCGAGACTCGGATCAGTCGCTATCCACGCGCTAGGCCGAGCGCCTAGTCACGTGTTCTCACTATCGATAAGGCCAAACCTCATTGTGAGCCACGAGGCCCACCTGTGATCTGGACCTGATGATGAGCAGGATAAAACAACTGTTCAGACCCAATGCCATTCACTCATGGTTTGCCACTCCATATTCTAACCTCATAGTTAGAGCCAAGCTGCATTGTAACTTCATCTACTGGAGACACCTTGTTGATTACGGAGCTATCTCTGTTCTTCCACTACTAACACCAGGTGAAAGCAACCTGGAGAGTTCAATCCCTATCCGTGCAAGCAGTCTCACATAGTCGAGTCACAGTCCTTGGTCCAACCTCTGGTGCTCCTCTGACGTGCGTCATAGCTCATAAGATCATTGTATGCCATCACATGGTACGCACCCTCTCAATCCTGCCTACCCTTGAGTAACCGCTTCGTCACCTTGTCCTTTTCGATAATGTAAACGTGTGCGCCCCAACCTGAAAGTGCGTCACGGTCGACGGCGTTGAGTAGCGCCTGTGAAATGGTTTCAAACAGGTCCTCTGGGCCCTACACTGAGCATTAGTACTTGATTTAGAGCAAGAGTGGCGTTGAAGAACCCACCAGATCCGGTTCCCACAGCCCCTCACATGTTCCAAACAGCTGGTCGCTCGCTGTTCCGCTTACGATGAAGTCCTTTGCAAAGTCGATGCACCCAATGCTGTCGAAACCACAGATGAATGGCTTCCCGCTCGTCTGGTTGATACCTGCAATCACCGGGCTGATGAAGTATGGGCCAAAGCGCCTCTCGTACAGACTTGAGCTGACGAGGTTGGCCATGGTCTGTGGGCTGATGTTGCGTTCTTCGCGAAGACGGTACATGTTGACCTTGTAACGAAACAAGTCGGACACGGTCGAAACATCGGTGGCGAGGCCCGTCAGGCCAAGGAAAACATCGCCGTATTGGAAGATCTTGGGGAAGTTGTTGGACACGGTGAGGGCCTGCATGCCGAGGCGGAGGTCGCAGGCGATGGCCACGCAGTCCTTGCCCACCATTGCCACACAAGCGCCGCCGTCTATTGGAATTGTTAGATGGGCATGTGGTATTATGGTTGTAGAAGAAGCGTACTTATGGAGAATGGCGACGACTGTTGCGATTAGCTGTGTCCATGTGCCGACGGGTGCGGGGAGCTTACCATGGCTGCAGGAGTGATGTGATATCTGGCGAGACAGTAGAGACAGCTGCAGCAACAAGAGCAGAGGAGGTGTAGTCGGCCGTAGATCTAGAATCAAGCAAAAGTGGTGTTGGCAGTGGTTGTGATGCACCCAGGTAGCAGCTCAGTACGCGGCGGCGCGAGCAAGCTCCACCCTAGGACAAGGCAAGGCTACTTCGTAGCTTAAACCCGTCTTGGCGCTGGGAACTTTTGATCTCCACGCCTGCATGCCCACATCTTGATCGCAAACACGCAATCCACACAGGATGAGCGCCCCAAAAACGGTCGAAATTGCAAAATTGCTGCCGCCGCGCCTGCTGCGCTTCTTCCAAAAGTACCCTCCGCCTGCGCTGTTCCCTGATCTCACATCCCCACATTCAAATCCATCGCAATCGGCGGCCAACACAATATCAAACACCCCGCCCACCGACCCCAATGCCTCAATTAGCGAGATGCCGGCACCAAATAACACGCCAATACCCTCGAGCGCACCCCAAAACTCAAAAATACCGCCAGAAGCGCACCAACTTCCCTACCCAAACCCTTTCCTCCCTCACAAGAACTTCACAACCGGACGATGGCAGAGCCCCGCCTATGGACTGCGCAAGCAAGCCGACCTGGTGAAGCTTGCTTCTGAGCATGGTGTTGTCGATCTACTGCCATGGACCATTAAAAAGCCGGGCGAGAAGGAGCGACAGAGGGTGGAGAGGGGTCTGCAGGTCAAGGGCACGGGTGAGGGACAAAAGGTCAAGGGGAAGCTGTGGGAACGAACGCTCAAGGGCCGCCTAGAGATGAGGCGACAGGCTATGCTGAACATGCCCGCCTTAATTCAGGAATGGAAGCAAAAGGGACACGGCAGGGGCTGGAAGAAGTGGCCGAGTGGCAAGGCAAAATAAGTCTGTCCATGTTTGAGTGGTGGTGGGCAGCTTCAATTCTTCGTTTTCAATACCCACATGTACAATGTATGAATCAAATCCATTCCATTGGCGCAACAAGTCATGGGCCAAAGCTGGTTGGAAGTCTGATTAAGATGAAAAAAAAACGATTGCTGATTGGGTATCCTTCTGACGAAATCTATCTCTTTCATAACCCACCTAGTACACACCGTGTATGCGTCTATGTGTGCATGCCTAACAAACTAACATAAGAATGTCGTGAGCGCAAATGTGCATCCCCTGTGTAACAGAATGCCCTACCAATCCACCCAGACTGCCCACACGCCATGGGACTGTAATCAATCAAGACTGCTATACCTCACATAACCATCTCTTCGTCTCCATAGCCACCGCGTAGACCATACTCACGTGCAAATGCATACGCTCCATAATTGTTCTCCATGTCGATGACACTTCCCACATGCTTCTGCCAGAGGCCATTGCCAGTGTTGTATACTGGATCAGTGGCTTGGTTGTATCTGTTGGCCTCCTTGAGAGCCTGCTGAGCTCGTGCCGACTCTTCATACTCGCGCATTGCCATCATCTCATAACCTGAAGACATGTATGGTTCGGCGTTTGCTGCGGCCATGGCCTGCTCTGATTCTTGCTGCTGCTGCTGCTGCATTGCATTCTGCTGAGCAGCATCCTCGGCTTGCTGCCTCTCATATCTCAGCTTGGCCATTGCTTCTTCTTGCGCTAGGCTGGTAGGGGGCCAGTCGTAGAGCTGCCTCGACATGTTGTAGTCGGTACCTGATGGGTGTCCCTGGCGTCCTGATGGAGGCGAGATGCGCCATAGCTCGAGGAGACGCAGGCGCTGGTCGTCGTCTGCGTTCTTGAAGAGATCAATCTGAGAAGGAAAGAGCAGAGAGGGGTCGATGCTGTTTCTCAGAAGTACAGCCTCTAGATCCGACTCGTTGATTTGCGTCTTCAGACTCGGCTCTGAAGCACTGCGAAGAGGGACATGATGCGAGTGTGTGTAATGCTGTGAAGCGTAGACAATGTTCTTTGGGGCAGACTCTAGCTCTGGCTGCTGAACTGGGTGGAGGAGAGGTGCTTGCACTTGGGTTTGTGAAAGGGTCATGTTGGCCGAGAACAGCCTAGTCAGCTCGTCTTGCTGCATGTTTGCGTCTTGTTCAGCCTTGGGCTGCACGTTGATGCCGGTGGAGATTACGCCACACTATGACGTAGGGTTAGTGGATGTTGATTACCAGTGCCAGGGCGTTGGTGGCTTACGTGAGAGCAAGAGATGTTTTGGGAAAAAGCAAAAGGACTAAACGAGACAGGAGTATCGTAGGAGCAAGAGCAGTGGTGAAGGAGCATTGGTTGCATCTCTGTGCCGGTGTTTGGAGAGCAAGTCGGGATATGAAGAGGGGTAATGGTGTAGAAAACGGTAGTTGAGCAGTGGAGATGAAGCGAAGGAGTGAAGAGTAGGCGGAGCAAGCTAGTGGGCAAGTGGGAAGGAAGTAAACAACGGACCCTGATGTCTGTTGCCAGGCTGTGTGTTGTGTCTAGCCGCAGTTCTTGAGCGTGAGCGTTGGGCGCTGATGAGTACTGGCACGGTAGGCGCGTGAGTAAGAAACAAACAGAGGAACAAGATACAGATAATCAACTCGAGTCGATTCAGCAGTCAAGGGAGAGAGGGAGAGAGCAAGGGGGGAGGGAGCAGTTGGCAGCAACGTGGTGGTGGTTGTGGTCCCTTAAGTACATACCGTCGAGTGTAGCGCGCTGTCGGGTCATGCGTGAAGGCGGGATGATTCTGGGAAATTTGTCGCCCACAGTCCAATTAGTGTCGACGCGTTGAAACCCAACTTGTTCGGCTAGCCAGTGGACAGCCAATCGAGTGCATCTGAAGCCTGTGAATAGTCGTCGGTTTGGGCCGACAACTCATCACGTCTTTACAGGCGTATGCATCGCTCGACGTCGCCCACTGGCCCGCCATTGGAGGGGTTCCGGCGGAAGAAGCCGGGGATCAAAGCACGGCTTGCACGTGACTTTGCTCCGCCGTATGTACATACTTGGTCGCTACAGTCATGGCAGAATGGCACAAGCGTGTGCACCAACTAACTCAGCCGGGCGACTATGTATATATACGCAGACGTGACTGCAACATAGACACCAACACGTTCGCCCTGGCTGTGCTGCTCTGCTCTGCTCTGCTCTTATAGTGAGTACTATGTATGTAGCGTGTCGGGGCCGGGGGTCTCCTTGGCACGCTAGTGGTGAGCTGCTGGAGCTTGCGCAGACACACCATTGCCTATTGCCTAGTACAAGCAATCACCAACAACACCGGCCAAGCACAGCTCCCGACATCGTCCAATCCAGCACTCGAATCGTATTCGCTGCACAAGCAGAGTGGTTGTTTGAGCACGACTTGAGCACGACACCAATTACATACGACCGTCACAACCACCCACTCCATCCACCATGGTAAACAGCCCCCCGCCCGCTCGACACGCACCTCGAGGGTAAACTGACATTACTGCAGACGTCAATAGGCACAGGCTATGACCTGTCCAATTCTGTCTTCTCGCCTGACGGTCGCAACTTCCAGGTCGAGTATGCAGTCAAGGCGGTAGAGAACGGCGGCACAGCTCTGGGCATCAAGTGCAAGGATGGTGTTGTGCTCGCTCTCGAGAAGCTCGTCAGCAGCAAGCTGATCAAGCCTGGTGCCAACAAGCGCATAGCAACCGTCGACCGCAACATGGGTGTCGTGTCTTCTGGTCTCCTCCCCGACGGTCGCCACTTCGTCTCCCGAGCCCGTGACGAGGCGGCGCAATGGCGGCAGCTCTACAAGGCCCCCATTCCTTCCTCGTCTCTCGCCGACCGCATGGGAAGCTACGTTCAGGCATACACGCTCTATTCCAGTGTACGGCCATTCGGTATAACGGCCATTATTGCCGGCTGGGATTCCGAGGCCGAGTTGCCCGTTGACGGACAAGTTGGTTCCGGTCCTTCTGTTGGCTCGGGAGGCAAGAGAGAGGGCGCCAAGCACGGCGGTCCATCTCTCTACATGATTGAGCCGAGTGGCCTCTACTGGGTATGCAAAACAACTGGACACTTCGTATACAATGACTAATCGGCCCAGGGATACTATGGTGCAGCTACAGGCAAAGGCCGCCAGGTCGCAAAGTCGGAGCTCGAGAAATTGAATCTGCATGAGGGCCAGCTTTCATTAGAAGAAGGCGTCAAGGAGGCAGCGCGCATCATCTACGTCGCACACGATGACAACAAGGACAAGGAATTTGAGCTTGAGATGACGTGGATCAGCAATCTCGACGGACCGACCAAGGGTAGACATGAGGAAGTGCCCAAAGACATTCGGGAAGAGGCTGAGAGGCTTGCAAAGAAGGCGCTCGAAGGGGATGATGACGATGATGACGAGGAGGAGAAGATGGAAGAGTAAATGAATGGCTGCTCGAGTCGAGCCACAGTGGATAAAAGTACAGACCCTGACGATGCGTAACGAGCGGCTTTTGCGCAAGCCTTAACGATCAATGAACAAGATTCAAACTAGCAAGGCATTGCGGCCATGTTTGCATGCCTCCCGCTTGCTTCCCATGCTGTGCTTCGCTTCGTCTTGCCCTTCCGCTTGTGGAGTGACAGTTAGCAGCACCCGCGTCATCGAGATGCAGGTACGTCGGCCCCACTAGCGCGTCATTGCAAACTCGTCTCAACAACAATCCGCCCTGGCCTTCCTTTATAACGTTGCTGCGTCGCCCATATCCGCTTGCATCCAGGCCCCATACTCGCAATTTGTCTGGATTCTGCCTGCCATGGCCCCAAAACTTGTCCTCATCCGCCACGCCCAGGCCCAGCACAACGCTACCAACGACTGGTCGATACGTGACCCTCCACTAACCGAGCTCGGTGAGCAGCAATGCCGCGAGCTGCACGAGCATCTGAAGCAGACCGAGATTGGCAACCAAATTGAGCTCATTGTCGTGAGCGCGCAAAGAAGAACGCTCCAAACCGCCGCCATTGGACTCGACTGGCTCATCAAAAAGGGCACAAAAGGTAAGACGAGCATTGGGGAATGGTGAGCCAGAGCGAGTAATGGCTAATCGAGTCTCATCACAGTCATTCCCGACGCAAACTGGCAAGAAAATGCAGACAAGCCCTGCGACACGGGGACCCCCCTCGACGTCATTTCCAAGGAGTTCCCGCAGTACGACTTCTCCGTCGTCGACCCTTCATTCCCAGACAAGACAACAAACGGCCCCAAGAACCCGTATGCTTTTACCGAAAAGGCCATTGTGGCGCGCGGCCAAAGATGTCTCGAGGATCTGTACTCGCGGCCGGAAAAGGTGATTGCCGTAGTCTCACACTCTGGCTTCCTGCGCACCGCCATATGTAACCGCATGTTTTTCAATGCCGACTACCGTGTGTTTGACTTTGACGAAGAGGCCATGAAGAAACAGCCGGGCACTTTTGTGCTCAAGGAGAGCGACGAGACAGACAAGAGTGGCGGTGGCATGGGCAGGAGCGAGGTTGGTGTCTTTGGCATCGTGCCTGGAGACTTTCCGCCAGAGGTGAATGAGCAAGACGTGGCAAAGGAGGCAGACAAGGTGGACGACGAAGCTGTAAGAGAGAAGCCAAGTGCATAATCTGACTGATGACACCCAAGTATACACAATTATACACGTGGTCTGTCGGCGTTTGATCTCCACCAAATACCCTTTCTCCAGACAACATCTAGCAAACCAATTTGCAACGTGACTGCGCATCAGGAGTTTGGGTTTCGCATTTGCATTGATACTGTTATGTGAGATCCTGACAAGTCCAGCCCTCCGATTTGTAAACCTCTTCCTTGAGATAACCATGGGAATCCCCCGTATGGCTGACTACAGCTCCTGTCGAAGGGTTTCCTGCTTTACCAGCCAGTCGGAGCAAATTGAAGATGATGCTTCCATTGCTTGTACTTTCCTTCCCACGCAGCATTGAACGCGGTCATGGCTTCCTCTTCCCTGGCCCCCTTGATTGCGAGACTGACGGCTTGGCCATACAGCACGTGCAGCTCCGTGCTTGCCCGCGCCAGACGCTGGTTATTCAAAAACATCCCCAGCGGGTCCTTGGACCAGCGAGTCTGGATGTGAATTTTGACCGTTTCAAGCAACACGGAATTGTCAACGTGGTCATTCGTACATGCCTTTCCATACGTCAATCTGCGAAACTGCAACAGTGGCTTTATCCATTTCTCCCGCAAACTAAACTTTGGGGCACAATCGTGAATCTGAACCCAAATTTGTAGCTGCTGAAGGTTGATGAGTTTCTTCGAGGCTGTCTTGCATGCCTTGGACCTAGAGAAACGACAGAAAAACATGGTTTGTAAGTTCTCTCGTACAGCCATAGCACCAAACCGCTCAAAAGAGAGAAAACGAACGGGAAAACTAAGAAGGGAAAAACATGTCTTGAGGCAATCGCAGCATTGCATTTCACTCACCAACTCTGCGTGTGCTTGTCCTGCCAGACTTGATGATCGGTCCGCTGAGGATGTCCATATGTGTTGTAGTGGAGATGCAACCTTTTTATATTTTGCAGACTGGTGCTTGACACGACGCCGAAGAAGCTGTGCATTCGCTTTGGCGCATCGAATATGAAAATAGTCTTGCAGTAGAGAAACTTCGTTGTCTCCAGGTGAACCTGCTTACATACCAGACTTAGGGCATACAGCGAGCTGAGCCAGTTGGTCTGTAGGCCATGTACCATAATATACTTACCCAGTGATCTGGAGAAGCGCACGACGGATGGAGCAAGAGAATTGTCGGATTCAGAACCAGGGCGAAGAGTCCAGTCTTGCTGTGAAGAGAGTCCCGAGCATAGCTTGACCGTCTGGGGTTCCCGTTGTTTGAACTGACTGCCTTTTGCGGCTACTTCGCAGTGATGCTCCCGGTCGAAGTAGTACTTATAAATTTGGTTTCTGATTTCGCCTGGTAGGGCCAAGAAACCCCGCAGCTGCTTTGGTGGATATATTGCGGGTCTATGGGCACGAGAGAAGAGACTAGGCGATTTTATTGTCATTGGCGACATCGAGGACGTGTCTACGTGAGTGAGAGAGAAAGGGAGTGAGAGGTGTTGAGTTGTGTCAAGCTGTGTTGACTCGGGTTAGTTGTGTAAGGTAGGTTAGTCGAAATCAGCAAAGGCAATCAAATCGGAGTGAGTGCTCAATCAAACATGCCGCTGGCAGGTGTATTGACGGTGAGGTAAAGTGGAGTTGAGGGTTGCCAGCCTGGACGCCCCCCCACCTTGAGAGCTGGATCGCACACTGACGCTAGCCCCGCTCGGGATTAATGAAAACAGCAGCTGCACCTCAATCGCCCGTGCTATCATACCGCCCCCGTCAAACACAATGTCTTGGTCACTCTTCCGCCCACGTATCTTCTTCCGCCAACCTCAATTCCTTGCCAGCCGTGCCTTGAGTACCTTCCGACCGCACGCATCCCGCCTACGCCAGCCAGGCGAACCCACAGGCCCCAACGAGCCTCCAGCCCACATCTCTGCCCCGTCATCCAAGTCGCCCCTCAAGGTCTGGCCCATTGTCGCTATCTTCGCAACAGGCACGTTTTTGTTCAAGAAGATAGTTGACGACCGCAAGGGCGAAGGTTACCAGCCAAAAGGACCCATTCAAGGCCATTCACCAAGTGGTAAGGGACAAGTGCGGCCTTCGCATCCTCATTAGCCAGTCAGAAAAACATAATAAAGATGCCTGCCATTGAACAGACCGACATTGGCGCGCGTACCTCTCCTATGTGGTCCAAGGACGATGTAACTGTGCTCTTTGTCCTCGGCGGTCCTGGTGCTGGAAAGGGGACACAATGCCAGAAGCTCGTTAACGACTACGGCTTCAAGCACCTTTCTGCCGGTGACCTTCTGCGCGAGGAGCAGGATCGAGCAGGCAGCCAGTTTGGCGAGATGATCAAGACGTACATCAAGGAAGGTACTATTGTACCTATGGAGGTGACGGTAAAGCTACTCGAGAACGCCATGCGGAGTAGCATGGAGAGTGGCGAGAATGACAACAAGCTGTTTTTGATTGATGGTAGGTACAATCCCAGTCCCCAAGTTGTGCTCTTCTACTCCTGCAATGTTAGCCCACGTTTCTCACCAAAACTTTTCTTTGATTATAGGGTTCCCACGCAAGCTTGACCAGGCCCATGCATTTGAGCGTGCGGTGTGTCCGTCCAAGTTTACCCTCTTTTTCGAGTGCTCCGAGGGTGTTATGGAGAAGCGACTTCTACACCGGGGCGAGACTTCGGGCCGGGCAGACGACAACCCAGAGAGCATCAGGAAGCGGTTCAGGACTTTTGTCGAGACGAGCATGCCGGTGGTGAACGAGTTCGAATCTCAGGGTAGGGTCGTCAAGGTCAATGCTGAGCAGGAACCCGATGCCGTGTACAGGGATGTGCAGGCAAAACTCAAGGAGCGTGGTGTGGAGCCCGTCAGTCGCTAGATTGCGCAGATACAAGCTTGGTAATTAGATGAAGTAGACAAGATGGAGAATCAATATATGTGAATTGGAATATCTATCCTGCGCAGCTCCGAGGCTGCGATTCATAAAGGTGGAAAAGCCTGGGTTTGTAATGCATCTAATGCCGTCCCTAGCCTACGCCCCTGTTTTTGCCAAAGAAACAAACGCACGCCCGCCTAAGACACCATGTTTTGCTTAGTCCAAATCCTCATCAATAGCCCTCTGCTGCTTCCGCTGGCCGCCCCGGCCGCCAAACCTCGAGGCCATGTCAGCCTTTTGGTCAGCCTTGTTGGCCTCATCCTCCTTCTCCTGGAGGAACCTCTGCTTCTCCTGCTGGATAACGTGCAAGACACCCTGCAGACTGTTACGCCACAAGTCTAATCTTGAAGCTACCTCCCGCCACTGGTTGTCGCCAAAGACTCGGTATGTAGAGCGGTGGATAAGGAACGTCTGGTTAAGCTGGCTGAGCTTGCCCTCGACGAGGCCGGCGCGGATCACGTCAATGACCCACATTTCCACGTCTTCCAGGGGCACCTGTAGGCCTTTTGCAATCTTATCATATGGGAGCGACCGTGTCTGGCCGGCCGAGGCGGCCATGGAGGCAAGAGTGAGTAGGCGCATCTTGCGGTTGAGGGCGGTACCGTCAAGGCCAGACTCTTCGACCCAGCCGTCATGCTCGTCCTTGAAGTCGTTGAAGTCGTCGAGTAGGTCTGAGTTGAAGATCTCAAGCAGCTGGAAGTAGACGGGGTCCGAGTTGCGCAGGGCCTGGATTGAGTCGAGGTCGGTGAGGTCCTGGAAGTCAAAGTGATGGGGGTGGGTGAGTGCCGACTTGAGCGCGCGGAGTGAGAGGTCACGGGCGTCGGGCGACGAGGCCTGGTCTGATGAAAAAGTGCGTAGTGCGCGTAGCAGATATGTGTATGCCTGCTCCGTCTCACCCGCGTCGGCGGCGACATCGCTGACGGCTAGATAGAGCTTACGGGCGTCGTCGTCGGGCGTCTTCCACTCGAGGAGCCAGGTATCGAGTTGCTTGAGCTGAGGACGTAGCGTCTCAAAGTTGGAGGTGGCGCGGATGACACGGAGGATAGCGAGCAGGACCTGGTAACGGGCCTCGCTGGTAGGCTGTGTTGTGTTGAAGATAGTGCTCAGGATGGACAGGGCGAGGCCGCCGCCGTTGTAGGGCGACGACGAGATGGGGGCGCTGAGGTTCTGGCACATCTTGGGCAGAAACATGGAGACATTGGGCGAATGGTTTACGAGGTGGATGAGCAGATTGTAGGCGGCAATGAACTCTGCGCACTCATGGTTAGACGGGCGCTTTGTGCGAGGCAAGTCAAGAGCGGTGCGGGGCGGGGCGCGGCATACCCTTCTCTGGCGCCTGGTTGAGGGCCTGGCTGGCAACAACAAGCTTCTTGAGCACTTCATCCTTTTTATTGTCCTTGAGCAGCTCGGCCGTCTCGGCCTGGAGGGCGGCGCTGTCATCGCCCTGGGATTTTTTGAGGCTGTCGATGTATTGTGCGAACTCGTCGGTAAGCTCGTCGAAGGAGCCCTCGATGAGCAGGGTCGTCTTTGCGCCAGGCATGGTGGTTGTCGCTGCGAATTTGGCGTGCGGAGTGTGTAAGGGGGGCGGGGCGGGTGCGAGGTCGACAATGGGATGCGCCCGTCGAGTGGTGGGTGGGATGCCAAGATTTGCGTTGCATTTTTGGAGTTTGCTACTAAGTACTATCGATAGCACGTATGACATGGTAGTATACATATCTTCACCCCACACCAGCCATTACTACTATTGTCACCACTACTATCACTACTATATTACTTACTTGTGTATATATATGTGTGTACACTCAGCTCACCCCTCACCCTACTACACCATACTACAATACACTTCCCCTCGCCTGCTGTCATATCATGCATAAATGTGAGAAAGACAATGTTCTTTCCTTCTTTCTATTACCTGCTGTAAAACATGACACATACATACGGACAACAGAATATCAAACTAACAAGCCTGCTGCCATCCTGTCCTGTTGAGCCATCAATTTGCTGTAGCCGATGGAGCATGGTCACGTGACTGGGTCAGCCCCCCACTTGGCAGCATTCAACCTTATATTAACATGACTCGAATGGAGTGGATTACATCATCCAACCTCGCAGTCCAAGCAAAATGTCAGAGCGGTCCAGTCTACTGGTCTACTGGTCTACAGTACTGGTCCACTCGTCCATCCAGTATATGCAATTCCTGAACTGACATGGCATCCAATCTCCTTCGACTGCTGTGAAGCGAGTATGCGTTGGGCAAGTATACATATATATGCTCTGTTGCCCGTCAGGCATTCCAGACTGTTGTACTTTACAAGCCAGCCAACGGATGCTCAGCAGACAGTGCAATGCACGCTGCCCGCCAATGGGTCGTCAATCCATCAACGCTGCCGTTTCGGGCGCGTCGCGAAACTCACGCGTCAGAGTCTGACGTCAAGGCCCAATAGTCGCGCCTCCCCTACTGCAACCATTACCACTACCACTCCCACCATTCACTCCTACGTGCGCTGGCGCCCAAAGCGGATATCTTTCCTTTGTCTAGACTTATATCTTTTCTTCGACTGCGTGGGCATGTGCATTTCACCTTACCCCTTCTTTACCTTCTTCTTCCATCATAATGCTATTTCATCCGTTCGAAGCTGCGCTTAGCCAGCCACAGAGCGACGCGCCCAATACACAACTCTGCACCCTTGTTTCCGCCTCCGATTATAGTAGGCCCAAATTTCCTACCATAGCCGAAAACTATCTCTGCGATCAAACCAGACCACAAGCACCGCCAGAAGACAAAAACACAACAACAACATCATCATCATCATCATCATCATCATCATCATCATCACCAACTTCCATGCCGTCGACCTCTAGCAAGGGAAAACTACCCCGTGTTTCCCGAGTTGCTAAGCAAAAGGCTTTACAGCAGTTTGGTCCACAGTCTGATGACAGAAACACGTATTCCAAAACGGGGGGAAAGGAAGGGACTGAATCAGACACGCCCAGTGCAGCATCGTCGATAAAGAGGAGATTGCATCGTTCTGGGATTGTTCCGGGCAAGAAGGTCACAAACAATACTAAGACACGTAAATCACATGTCAAGCACAAAGTTGATGACGATGAAGACTATGTCCCAAGCCAGATCGAGTCGACGAAGAAGAACAAGCAGAAGAAGTATAGCGCAAAACGCAAAGCAGATGGGGATACTACAGAGGACGGAAAGCAGACCAAGAAGCCACGGCTACAAGTAAATAACCATGAGGGCTCAGCTGATTATGCAACAAAGCGACAAGATCAATCGAAATCTTTCATCAAACCAGCATCATCTGCTGTATCTTCGAGACACTTGCTGATTGCAGGACTGAAAGCTTCACAGATGCCAATAGACGCCTCTCAGACAGCGTTCAAGAAACCAATGTTACCTTCACACATCACTCAAGCACCCTTGACTCCGACGAAGCCAAAGAAGAAACTTGTAGAGACACAGAAACGGTCGCACACCCCAAGAGATGCGAGGATGCCTCTCCATGATGATGTTTTCTCTCAAATTCCATCATCCCCACCGATACCCTACGAAGCCGACGAGATGGATGATTGGTCACAGGACACTCCAGCTGTGGCAGCGATACTGTCGAGCAACAGCAAACCTATCCCCGCATCACCAAATGCAGAATCAACGGCTATATCAGGCCACGCAGATTGCAATGATGTGGCGCATGAGAAGCGGGCAGGAGATTCGCAAACAGCAAAAAGTGATCCTTTCACACGAAGGACCAAAGGCAGAAAAGCCACATCGTTCTTACGTCGTTTGACAGGGGATGAATCAACAGGCGGATATTCAGATCCAGCGACTGAGGTCTCCCAAGATTCACCAGCAAGCCGAGTTGTTGATCTAGATCTTGGTATCAGAGATAGTACTCTTACTGGCGACTGTCGTAACGACCAGCAACGCACCTCGGAAGCCGAAATATCGCCTGTTCATCTCGATTCTTCGCCACCGAGGATGCACTCGCCTATTAGCAGTCACAGTTCGACCTCTGCCGAGTATTTATTCTCCTCCAAACCCCCGTTACCTTCGTCAGAAGCCGAGGAGATTGGGTGGGAGAAGAGTCTTGAGCCTCATCAACGCAGCCTACATGATGTCCTAATCAGTACGTCGAAACGAGTCGTGCGTCATATCGTCGATAGCGAGACGGGCCTCGATGGCATTGCAGAGACGTTTGCAACAGATGGTGAGTGTATACTAGAGTCGCTATTATCCCGACATGATGACGACTACAAACATGTGTTCACCGATATGGAGAGTAAGAGAGGTGCTCTCCGAAAAGAGCTTGAGTATGCCATTAAGCGAATGGCTGGCGAGCGGAAGCGGATTGGTTTTTGATGGAGACTTGTACTGCGTTCTCACATGATCAAGTATCACGTCACGATGAAGATGCTTCTTTAGGATGCAGAGTCGAGCACGCCTTATCGATATGATGATTACGAAGCCGCAAATGAACGTGCCCAGAATGCATATGCATAGTCTAATATACATGAAGTAATATGACAGCGACAAGCCCGCCAATAAAAGGCTAGTGGCAAGTGACTTGGCCTTATGCACGTTGGCGCCACAGTAGTGTGGGGCTGCAGAGCTGATGCCTACTCACTGTACCCCAGTTCCCACAATTGTGATTTACAGGCAGATGTTCGTTGCACCTGTCATCTAGTCAAGTAGGTCCTGTTCATCCATACATACATCTCGTTCGGACCCTAACATTGCCCTTCTACCCTGTCAGCCCTTGTTGCAAGCTGTCGCTAGACATCCAGCCCCTCGACAACAAGTCAAGATCGATACACAGAAACGTCGACTCCAAGATGCCATCCATGACTCCCTCATATACACGCATCCCAAACTTTTATCGCCTCTTCTTCACCTATCTCGACCCCCTCATCTGCGTCTGGGGCGCGTCCATGGACTTTTTCCTCCCCTCTCTCGTCCTTTCGTCACATATTCCCTCGCCCCCCGTGCCAGACCAAGGACATATCATGGTGCTGACGCAGCGCGGAGGCGGCATGCTAAACTTTGGCATCGTATCTGCTGTGCTATTGCGGTACACAGACGACGTCAACATCTGGTCTATTGTACAGGTTGCTTGTCTAACAGTGGATCTGGCATATTACTGGAGTGCATGGCGTGTCCTGGGAGGCCAGGGTCGGTTGAGTCCCGGAGCGTGGCGGGCAGAGGATTGGGCAAGCCTAGGTATTACAGTGTTTGCAGGCGCCGTCCGGGCCGCGTTTTTGATAGGCGTGGGGTTCGAGAGGGGGGAAGGGGTCAAGGGTGCCAAGGGACAGTAGACTCGCACCGGGCCATGAGGCGCTTTGCTCATCCTTGAATTTACGGGTTACATCTCTGCAAGCGACCGTTACTGAATTATCAGTGTATATGTGTCTTTGACCTGTGTGTAGTATCACTGTGATATCCAAGGCGCTTGGCCATGCTTTGTACGCAATGCAGCTGCGATTCTAACAACCATTACAATGATGTTAACTTGCAATTAGACCATTTCTTTCTGCGAAGCACGATGACTATAGTCGACCTGTACGTCGGTTACTTTGATTATATTCCACAAGTTTACTTTTGCACGTGTTTTACAAACCTCAAGCTCCAAGACCTCGCTTGCCGCTCTCGCCATATTGCGCTCCGACTCGGGGCAAGAGTCAGTATCAGATGTTTTTCTGTCGTGTTTGGAGCTGCCGTCCGTTTTATCGCTATGTCTCGGTCTCGTGGTCATGTCTACAGATGCAAGTGAGCGGTGGTTACTAAACAGGCTTATTCTCCACGAGAATTTTTGCGCAGCGAGACGGTACAAGGGGCGTAGTGTGGATAGTGAGCCAGCGGTGATGGCCAGACTCATTTCTATCTCTGACCAGATTGCGATGGGTACTGTGCTGTAGAGGAATTCTGGGTCGAGAAAGGTCGGTACGTAAGCCAGGCGCACAATGACTGCCGAGCTTGCACTGTGACACTCCATTAGCCCATTCGTATTCGCAGTTCCATGTGCAAGATTGGGAAGACGGACATGCATCCCATACTCAAGATAGGAATTAGTGCGAGCTTTTGATTGCGACTCACTGTCAAGCCCCTGATTAGAAAGACGGGAAGAATAGCAAAGCTGAAATCAGAAGCGGCGAAAATGGCAGACATGACATATGTCAAGGACATGATGACGTGTATGTCAATACATGTTCCTGTTTCGCCAATTGCTCTGGTCCAAAAGAAGCGGACAGGTTTGCACTGGAACATTGCGATGAGGCCGTATGCAGCGCCTATGACGACACTAATCCAGATGGCAAAGTACGTGATGCGACGAGATCGCACGTGCGTATACGGAGTGTAGCGGAGGAGCGAAAGACCAAGGGATACTTTGGCGCTGATCATGGTCAAACAGTATGTCCAATAGCAAATCCACCAAAACTACAATGAAATAGGCGTTAGTACATGGATACTAGATAGTCACTCACTGGGGTTCGCATACCCGTAAAGCCATCATCATGCTTTCTGGTGTAAGTTCTTTTGTCAGTCTTCCAGTTCCGGTGAGTGCACCTCCAGTGGCGCAAATCACATTTGTGGTATGCATGAATTGCGCGAACAACATCCACCGGTCATCCCAGCCGAATGCCTTGACTACACATGTCCGCACGTAGACCCGGAGCACTACAGCTATCCAGGAAACGACCAGAAACGCCACCTCGATCTGTTCATAGTCGTCAGTTGCATCTAAAGCAGGCTGCTTCATACTTAGCATACCCTAACCATCTCGCTGGCGCGAGGTCCGATGCCCATGATGGCTTCGTACAATCGTGGACCGAGTGGGCAAAAATGTGGTTTGTTTATTTTTTTTTTGCAAAAGGTGGAGCGTCGTGAGTAGAAGGCCTGCCGTGTCGCACTTATACCCCAGAGACAAAGTACCCAAATTTACGTATGGCAATGTGCCACAAGTTTGGAATGGGGGCCACACTTCTTTGCCACACTGAACTACGCACGCAAATGTACAGAGCACCGGAATTCCCCGATACAGGTCAGCGTTGTCTTGTCTCTAGCTAGCGGCTCGGCAATAGGACATTCCTATAGTGGTACAACACAACGAGCCTATAGCTCTTGTGTGTGGAACCACAGATCAAGATCGCGGGGTTTTCCGGATGAATTACAGCTTGGCATTGCTTGCTTTTGATGTCCAGCAGGAGAATAGAGTTTGCCGGAGCGCGCCCGATGATCAATGTCTGGAACGAGCCAGAGCGCCACAAGTAGACTCGTGTACGGTAGATAATCCAAATGGCTGCTATGAGACTTGTGTCCATTGGACTAGTTGAGCTTCGTGATGAATTGGCTTTTTTTCCTAAGGAGAATAGTATGCTTTTCTAGGCTTTTTGGATTCGCAAATGTTCGTAACGTGCTATCCAACCGAGTGTTGGGAATATGACAGGCCTAGTAGTCGCTTTCTAGACGGCATTTTGGTGATTGTGCGGGTCCTTTACGTCAGTATCGTATGCTCTAGTCGATCTGCTCGTTTGCTACCAAAAAACTTTGCAAAACTCCCCAGCTTCTCCTATATGCAATACCGCGTAAACCATCGTCTTTGAGGAAGCAATTGCACTGCAAAGTATCAACGCCACAACATGCTTGCCAGTAGTACGACTGTGTCTAGACCGTGGGGAAATTCGCCTTTCAGCGCGGCTTCATCCGATACAGGATAGGTGCCCAACAGAGCTATGATATGAGTGGTTCGTCTCTGTAGTAGCAGGGGCGCAGCTGCCGTCGCTACCACTCGGAAAGGGGCTAATGGGTACTTTGTTCATCCAAAACAAAACAGAGGATGCTCCGATGGATTATAGAACCATAGTTAGAGCACGGCTAAAAACCAAGATTCGAGGACACTAAAGCCGCAGACCAACCTCTAACAGCATTTATCATATACAAGTGACGCCTAATATCTAGCACATACTTGATCACTAATCTTCGTCATATGATAGTCAAGACTGCAAAAAGGGGCTAGTACCGGGAGACAGTGAACCGAAATCACGGACAATGTAGTGCCACGCAGATGATATAACCTGACCAGCCCTCGGACTCCTTTACCAAACCCTTGCTTATTATCCTGATCACAGGGTTTATCAGCAATCAGCTGGAACGTACCATACTCTACCGACGCGAGCTCCATTAGATATCGGCGGATCACACACCGAAGCATTACCAGTAGGAGTAGGATTAGTAGTGGATCTGTATACGAGCGTGTCACGTCTTAGCACACGCTGCGTTCTGTATAGTTGATTGGCTCACCGGTGAACCGATCCTGGCTTGTCAAGGGGGGTATATGCAGGTACAGCGGGGAATGTGTTACCGGAATATCAGCACAGGACGGGTGACACGTGCAAATCGAGTCATGAATGCCGCTACAAAAGACAGCGACTATGCGGCTATGCGGCTATGTGGGGGATAGGTTGCCGAGATGTCACCAGGTCATGAGTGGTAAGTGCTGCAACATGAGACAGATCAGGTGAAGTACAAGAATGTTTGGATATCCGTGGTCACAGCAATGGCAAACTGTTTGCGTACTCACGAGCCAAAACAGAAACGATATCTACAGCCAATTTGAGTTGAAGCCGTATGTAAAAGTACAAGTTTCTCTGTGCATATACCTATATCCCAATCTATCATGTCTCTTATCCTCCTACCTCGGATAATCTCCCACTCCCAGCAATCGTTGAAGCATCTAAATTTACCATAAGCGCACAGGTATGCCAAAGATGTACAACAAGCGACAATTCATGCTTGTTTGTTACTAAAATTCAACTTGACGATGATGTGCAGACATGGTTGGCAATTACAGTTGGCAATTACACTGTCCAAAATTCTCGTGTTCTAGTCTAAAGATCGACACAAGGCAGTAAAAGAACCCCCCCCCCCCAGCAGCTACTTGGCACACGATTGACAAGGTGATAGATAACAAAGAGGGGCTAGTGTGATAGCTAGCGGCGGCTGATACTATAAGAGGCATGGTGGCAAGAAAGAGAACAGCACATGTGTAAGTATACCAGGTAACTAGGAGACATGGGGTACTTGCTAGTAGGTGGTTCCTGAGATAACCCGCCTTGATGCACTTGGCAATCACATTAAAAAAACATTGACACAATATCACTACCACTATATCTCGACATTGCAAGGGATACGGTGAATTATTATAATAACTCAAAGTATACATGAAGATGGCATTTCCCAGAAACAGCTAAAGCGAAAGGATGTATATACTAGCACACAAAAGCTCATAACACATGTTTAGTACAAGTTATCCATGTCCGTCCTAATATCGTCTCACATAGCTTCCTTGGAGTGAACCTGCTCAAGATGGGTGGAAGCTCCTTTCTTCTCTGTATAATCACTGTCGACATCGCTGACATTGAAGCTGTCAACAATGGTGGTGGCAAACTTGCGTGCAGGCACGCGCCTCTCGAAGAGAATGTCAAGTTCTCCGTAAGTTCTTCCCTTGGGCTCGGGAAGGCGGAAAAAGGCCCATACGAAGCATCCGAAAGCAGTCCCAGCA